TTCCTCCTTTGGTTCCTCCTTTGGTTCCTCCTTTGGTTCCTCCTTTGGCTCCTCCTCCAGTTCCGTCACAGGCTTTTCAGTCACCTTTGGTTCGCTAGTTTCAACGGCATGAACCTTTTGAGCTCTTGAAGCGACGGATTCCTTGAACGCTCTGATATGGGCCTCTTTTTCATTCTCTTCCAACTCTTTAGTCTTTGTCTCTTGAGCACTTGGCTTTGCCGGAGTTTCAGTCTTAACCTCGTTTTGAGGCTCTTTGCTTGTGTTCTCCTTTGTCTTAGCGTCAACAGCTGGCGTTGAGCTGGCAGATTCACTCGACTGAGAAGCTGCCAACTTAGCCTTTGCTCTAGCAGCAACCTTCTCCCTGAATGCCCTTTTGAGCTCATCCGCTTTGGAAGAGCTTTCAGCTGACTGCAACGCAGCAGAGGCAGTAGAAGGTGAATCGCTTCCACCAACAGATGGTTTGTGCTGGTTCAATTTTTGCAGTTCAACTTTCTCACCTGTTGGTGTTGTAACGTTCAAGTGACTCTGATGGAACTGTTGTTGCGGCTTGTACAGACCAGAGGGATGTGAAGCGTACTGGCCCATTGGGTAATACCCTGCCTGCTGTTGGTAGTACATCTGGTTATGGTACATGGCCTGTTGATCCATCTGCTGTGGATAAGGTGGGCTGAAAAACCCTTGTCCTTGAACATGATGGTGCTGCTGGCCTTGCTGGCCCTGCTGGCCTTGTTGACCTTGGCCTTGTCTATGTGACATTGTTTCTATAGACGTTTCAATCGAATTAGACTGGTTTGTGAATTAATACCTCTTCGCTCTTCGTTTTTCGTTTTTTTTTTCTTGCACTTCAACCCAGGAAAGCACACAGAAAGCGACAAAAAATGCAATTACGCAATGGACAAGCGAAAAAAAAGCGAGAGAAGGAAGAGAGAAATGTAGGTAAAAGACAGCTTATGAATAGAGGAGCAAATTGTCAGGGGATTCCTCTTGTTTTATCTATTTGAGTCAGCGTAGTTTCTATAAACCGAACGGGCAGTTTCCTTTTTTTATATCTGTTTTATGGGGTTGCCTACCTAAAAGACACACTGAACAGTGAGCTCTTAATATTGAGGCCTTACGAAAGCTTATTAACGGAATTCGGAGAATCAAACCCAACCAACCAAACGCGCAAAAAAGAACAAAACACAAACAAGCAAACGACGTACAAATAATCCTCTGTTAACGGGAGGGCGTTTCCAAGCGCGCAGAGAAAAGTTTTCATTTGCGTTCGTTTGTGAGAAAAGAAGCGGAAAAAAACACACACACAGAGCGACTTTGGCGACAGCTTCTCGTTTGAAGAGACGCGTCTGAAAGTTACACAGGAGGCTGCGTAAGTCTGAGAACGAGACGGCTCAGTGGGGTTCTGTCGCCTATGCGCGATGCTAGTGGTGGCCTAGCGGTGGCGGGCTACAAGGGGACAGTACAGAACAATACGGAGAAATAGTGTTATGAAGTACGGGCTTCCCAGAAGTGAACCGGATCACCTTATGTAACCCTCAGCCTATCCCTGATCGCAGCACCAGCTACGGAGTACACCAGCAACCCAATAACCAACGTTATAAACCCATACACGATGATCTGGTCCTTTGTAGATTCTCTCTCTAGTTCGGAAAGGCACAAGGCAAGTGTGCGTCTGTTAGTATATAACCAAAGCGGGTACCGTGGATGGTAATGCGCTAGCATCACCATACACAGGGGGTCCAAATCACAATCACTTACGAAAACAACTGGTACTGAAGCCATCCTCTCCCACGCCGGCACACTGCTCCACCTGCCGTGACTCACAGAAACTCCTCGTACAGGCATTACACCCTTCGTCTGCTAACGGTATCACCGCGTACCCACCATCACACTGGCACCTACAGAACTGTTCGTAGCACAGGGCAGTTGAGACCAGCACAGGAAAGAGTATCTTCAGCTTCAATTGCATTGTTCAACAGCGCCTTCCTCCCTGCCGTGTGGTTGATGTTGTTGGGCGTAAACAGCGACGTTTCGCACCTTTTCGAGATACGCTGTTGATGTGTGGGTGTTGATCGAAATCTCAGCCAAGGGGGCCCGCTAGCGGGAAAATTGCAACTTTGGATGGCGAAAAAGGCCCCAAACCACAAGACATCAACAAAAAGTAAACAAAGGAAACATACACAAACACAGATGTCGTCTGCCGCTGTACACGAAGCTGGAATCAAGCCATTCTTCGAGCAACGTATCCAAGATACAGAGATTGAAATCAACTCGAAGACGCAGAATCTACGCCGTCTTGAAGCTCAGAGAAACTCTCTAAATTCCAAAGTTCGTCTGCTGAAGGATGAGCTCAAACTCCTCCAAGAACCAGGCTCCTACGTCGGCGAGGTGATCAAGCCTTTGAGCAAGAAGAAAGTGCTGGTGAAGATTCATCCAGAGGGGAAATACATTGTGGACTTGTCACCTGATATTGACGTGAAGGATATCAAGGCATCATTGAGGGTTTGCCTCAAGTCTGATTCGTATCTCTTGCACAAGATATTACCGAACAAAGTTGATCCGTTGGTGAGTTTAATGATGGTGGAGAAAGTGCCGGATTCGACGTATGATATGGTTGGTGGATTGACCAAACAGATCAAGGAGATTAAGGAAGTTATTGAGTTACCAGTGAAGCATCCAGAGTTGTTTGAATCTCTAGGTATTGCACAGCCAAAAGGTGTAATCCTTTATGGGCCTCCTGGTACAGGTAAGACATTGCTGGCTAGAGCTGTGGCTCATCATACGGACTGTAAGTTCATCAGAGTCTCCGGTTCTGAACTGGTTCAAAAATATATCGGTGAAGGTTCAAGAATGGTTAGAGAGCTATTCGTCATGGCTAGAGAACATGCTCCTTCCATTATCTTTATGGATGAAATCGACTCCATCGGCTCTTCAAGAGTTGAAGGTTCCAGTGGTGGTGACTCCGAAGTGCAAAGAACAATGTTGGAGTTGTTGAATCAATTGGATGGGTTTGAGAACTCCAAGGATATTAAAATCATCATGGCAACTAACAGACTGGATATCTTGGATCCTGCTCTCTTAAGACCGGGAAGAATTGATAGAAAGATTGAGTTCCCCGCCCCAACTGTTGCCGCAAGAACAGAAATATTGAGAATCCACTCAAGGGCGATGAACTTGACAAGAGGTATAAACTTGAGAAAGATTGCAGAAAAGATGAATGGCTGCTCAGGTGCTGATGTGAAAGGTGTTTGTACGGAGGCTGGTATGTACGCATTGAGAGAACGTAGAATCCACGTTACACAAGAAGATTTTGAACTTGCAGTGGCAAAGGTTATGAACAAGAACGACGAAGCACAAGTCTCCGTGGCAAAGCTCTACAAATAGTTCCTTTTAAAAGAACATAACTTGATCTGTTTAATCTGTATAAGTATCTTTTGAACAATCGAATGAGCCAATTAATGTAGTCGGCAGTTAACTCATAAGGAATCTTCAAAAACATGAAACATGATATATAAATATGAAACGTATAAATATGAGGTAGTTTGCACTTCAAATAAATAAATAAGGGGTGGTCGTCATGGATGAATGACAAATGTGTTGCAGGGGTTGGAAATAAACAATAAATAGGGATAAATACGTTTAATGGATTGTGTAGGTCAGCATTCATGCCATGGCGTAATCAGGGTTTTCATCATGGATTTTATCACCCTTCTCTCCAAAGCTAGCAATACACTTGGCCATGGTGACAGAACTTCTAGAAATAACATCGGTCATCCAATAGTTCTCAATAGGGTTCTTTAATGCGACACCGGTGGCCTTAGCATCGATGGTACTTAAAGAGTTAATTCCAAGCTTGGCAATTGCTGAGCTTACTGGCTGTAACACGTTTGGAACGAGCAAACTTGGAGAGATCTCGCCCATTCTGAATCTCAAGGCATGGACGTTATCATACTTTAAAGGCGAGCCCAAGAACTCTGAAACTGCACGAATGATCTTCCAGTCTTCTCTTGCAGAACCAGGTGGGTTGGTAGCAGCTCTTGTCATTTGAACTCTACCTTCAGTGTTGATATAGGTAGCGTTCTTTTCAGTGTATGCAGATCCTGGAAGAATAACATCTGCAAAAGAAGCACCCAAATCACCATGGTGACCTTGGTAAACAACAAATGCATCACGTGGAATATCTTGGTTCTTAATTTCATCTGCACCCAACAAGTACAGGAACTTTGGTTTGGTCTCAGCGTTGGCTCTGGAGTTGTTGAAGAAACCAACTTCCAAAGCACCAGCACGAGCAGCTTCACGTTGTAGAACGTTGAATCCATTCCATTCATCTGTGATAAAGTTACTCTCATGCTCCTTAACGAACTTGCTCACAGTTGAATAGATAGCCTTAGAGTCAGCAGAGTTTGCAACAGCAGAACCAAGAATGATCATTGGATGCTTAGCAGAAGCGAGCTTTTTACCAACATCTCCGGCCAATGCAGAAGCAAGGTCATTTGCGGTTTCACCAACGTGGTTTAAGTCGAATGTGGAATCAAACGACTCACCAACGTGGTGAATCTCCAAATCGCTGTTCAACCAGGTACCTCTAATTCTAGCATTCAAGACACTAGCCTCATGACGTGGGTTTGTACCAACAAGCAGAATTTGATCTGCACTCTCGATACCGTAGATAGAACTGTTGAAGACAAAGTTGGACTTCACGTTAGCGCCGTATGGTGCTGGCTCATTCTCTCTGGCAATGTCATCTGTAGTGAGGTTCTCAGAGCCAAGGGTGTTGATCAAATCTTTCAAGGCAACCATGGATTCGACATCAGATAAGGCACCGGCAATGGCCTTCAATTCAGCACCTTGTGGCTGGATCTTCTTGTAAGCAGCAGCGATGGTGGAGAGAGCCTCTTCCCAAGTAGCTGGCTCAAAGTTGTTACCAACTCTAACTAATGGTGTGGTTAATCTTTGAGTCTTCAAACCATCACAGGCAAAACGGGTCTTATCAGAGATCCACTCTTCGTTCACATCATCGTTCAATCTAGGAAGTACTCTCATAACCTCAACACCTCTACAGTCAACTCTGATGTTTGAACCAACAGCGTCCAAAACGTCGATTGTTTCAGTTCTCTTCAATTCCCATGGTCTGGCCTTGAAAGCATATGGCTTGGAGGTCAATGCACCAACAGGGCACAAGTCGATGATGTTACCAGACAACTCAGAGTTGACGTTTCTCTCAACGTAGGTTCCAATTTGCATGTCGTTACCACGACCAGTAGTACCAAATTCAGAAGCACCGGCAACATCGTTCAAGAATCTAACACATCTAGTGCAGTGGATGCAACGGTTCATAGAGGTCTTGATGAGTGGGCCAATAGCCTTGTTCTCAACAGCTCTCTTACCAGCGGCTTCGACAAAACGGCCCCTGTCGGAACCGTATCTCATGGTTTGCTCTTGCAAGTCACATTCACCAGCCTGATCACAAACAGGACAATCCAGAGGGTGGTTCTCAAGCAAAAACTCAGTGATACCTTCTCTCGACTGCTTCACACGTTCGCTATCGGTGTGGACAACCATTCCATCCCTGACGGGGAATGCACATGACGCAATCAACTTTGGTGCCTTTTCAACATCAACAAGACACATACGACAGTTACCGGCAATGGCAAGCTTATCATGGTAACAGTAACGAGGCACTGTGACCCCGGCCTTGTCACACGCCTGGATGATGGAAGAGCCATCCTCAATCATAACCTTGATGTTGTCAACGGTGACTTCAACCTCCTTACGTACGCGGCAGGAAGAGCGGAAGAGACGAGCCAAGGGCTGCGATGTCTGTGCAACGGATCTTATACGAGCCAATGGAAACATGCTTTTAGACCTTGATAAATGTAATCAGACAGTAATATGAATCAACACTGAGATCCGTACTGTTTTGTTTGTACTTTTCCTCCAAAATTTTCCCTTTTCCCCTTTGGAGAGCGTTGTATTTTCGGCCTTTTGGGGTTGGCGGTTGGCCCCTTAAAAATTTCGCACGGTTTTGTGGTTAAGTTGTGTGTTTCGCAATTTCGCGGATTACTTTTCGCAATTTACTGAGTTCTGATTGGTAAAAAAAAAGGATAGCGCGCGCTGACATTTTCACACGAAAACGAAAACGAAACTGCCCAAAACAGACAAACATACAGATTTGCGCAAAAAAAAATAACACACACATAGCAGATTACGTAAACATATACTATTACAACGGTGGTTTAGCTGTTTAGTTCATCATCCTAAGTTCAAGTTCTTCAGAGTTTGGGCCAACTTTTCGTCTTGGAACTTCTCGAGTTTATTAGAGTAACTTGAATTGATTTGGAGGCTCGGATCGTACAAGTTCTTTGGATCAAAGTCCTCCTCTTCATTTCCAATGGTGGAGTTCTCGTTGATTTCCCCAGGGTTTGCACTTTGGACATCTATACCCTCATCAGGGTTGTTCTTGTTGTAGTAGTCTGTGAGTGATGGCCAGTTGGACTTGGCAAAGAAAGAAGGATACGCATTTTGTATCCCTGAGGAGCGTGTAGCGTCACCATCGGTGTTGAAGGACATTAGAGCGTTTGCTCCATAATCACGAGCCGTGGACTGTGCCTTTGCAGACCCAGCCGGTTGTGATTGTTGGGCAAGACCACGGTTCTTATTCTGTAGTTTGGCGTTGGCGAATTCTAACTGAACAACAGAGAGTTGCAAGTTGTCTAGTCTGCCTTCAACCAAACAACCCTTCTCTCTGAAATGTATCAACAGCTTAGTCCAGAGGAAATCCCTGGTGAATGATCTAGGGTTACCCAAAATAACCAATCCATACTTCGCACGGGTCAATGCAACGTTCAAGCGTCTATAATCCCGCAAGAATCCAATGTTCTGTTGATCGTTAGATCTAACACACGAAAAGATGATAAAATCCTTTTCACGGCCTTGGAACGCATCGACAGAAGCAACCTCGATGGAAGCATAAAGATCTTTATCCATGGTACCGCTCATCGTCATGTATTGAACCAAAAAGGCTCGTTGACCTTCATAAGGTGTAATGATTCCAATTTGTTCCGGTTTAATGCCATCCCGGAACAAACGAGTAACGATACGCTCACAGTTCATAGCTTCAATTCGGTTTAAAAATGATGTACCAGAAGCAGATATCTCTTCACGCCCAACATTTGCCCAAAACATCATTGGCGTGTCTGAAACTGGCCATGGGAAAGTGGAGCTTGCAATGCTACGTTCCTCTTTGCTGACACCGTTTTGAAGCATACCTTCGTAAAACATATTCGAAGAAAACTCAGACAAACATGGGTTCATACGGTATTGAACCTGAAGACGAATAGGAACATGGTCCAACATAATCATACGTTCAAAGAGAGACAACTTCAAACCTGCTTCTGCTGCTCTTTTATCCATGATAATTGGACCCATCTGTTGATGATCACCAACAAGAATAACTTGTCTTGCACCATGCGCTATTGGAATCATGCATTCCGGTTCAGAAGCTTGTGTAGTTTCATCAATCAACACTGAAGTGAACTGCATTCCGTGTAGACGCATGTCACCAGCACCAACACACGTCGTGCACACAACTTGAGCACTCTTTAAAATGGATTTCTCCTTCTTTCTCAACAGTTTGATCATTTCCTTCTGATCCTGCGAGTTCAGCTCTCCAATGTCATCCTTCAATGCAAGAAATTTCTTCAACTTTCCAGTTGCAGTCTTAGAAACCAATGTATCTAACGCCAAATGTTCTACTGCACACTCAACATCTTCACGTGATTTTGCCCTCAGTCTAACAACTTTGATCCCAATCTCGTCCAATTTACTAGCCAAATGATCAGTGGCAACATTTGATGGGGCACAGACCAAGATCTTGTTGTTGGAAAGCTTTGTCAGGTGGTAGACAATTGTTGCAGATGTGACAGTTTTACCAGTTCCTGGAGGACCTTGGATCAAACTCAGAGGTTTTTTCAACACAGACTGAACAGCTTTAACTTGAGATTCATTCAAGGCAGGATACCCTGGAATGGAGATCCTCGATGGTAATTTGATGTCAAATTCTGTTTCCTGAACGTCAAGGCCAAGAAGTTTATGGTAAATGTAGCTACTAACGGTTTCTTGTACAGAGGCAAACCTTCTCATAGCAAGCTGTTGTCTTTCATAGGATGTACCTTTCCAAACAAACTCTGCTCTAAAACCCGTAGTACAATCTGTTGGTACGTTTTTATCCCTTGCAGTCAATTCCACGGTGAACTCTTCGGTTCGTGAGTTTGGAATTCTAATGACATAGCCTGTAGATTTCCACGGGGCCCTGTTGTAGCCTTCATAGTGCAATAGTACTTCATCACCGACAGCAACTTTCATACCAGAACTTTCGAAAGTTGAAAGTGTAAACGAGGCCAAATTCTTGTTATTCAAAGCCATTGACCATTTAACAGATATGTGTTCTAAGCCTTGAGATTCTTTCAGCTGTTTATCGTGTTCAGCTTCTAATTGAACCAAGGGACCGTAAGTTCTCTGATATTCATAGGAGTCACGGTACCTCAACATTGCCTTCTTAACCTCAACCTCTTCCTTATCCTGTTCAATGTCTACAAGTGTAGCGTCCTTGTTCAATTTCCATTGGCTCTCTAACTTCGCAATCTGAGCGTTCTTGATGACACGAGCATGGGAAGACTCTTCTTGTGTAGGAGGAGGAGCAATCCAGGACAGGAACTGTCTATTTTCAATCAACGAAGTCCATTCCGCAGTATCCCACCTTGGATCTTTCGTCTGAGAACAGGGAATACGGCACAAGATCACCATGACGTGTTCAGCCTTTGCAGTCACGAACCCCAGAACAAACACGTTCCTGTTTCCACAGTTGTAACATTCCAACGGAGTATCACCGATATCAGAGTCCTCGTGCAAAGAAACAGTGTTATGCTTCGACATCACCAAATGGGTAACAATGTGCGAAGAATTCGACGAACCCTTATCGTTACAAAACCATTTGTTACAGGTGTCACATCTGATAACACTTGTGGGATTATGGATACCGCAGTAGGAGCACGCATACTCCGGTAAACTCGCTAAAGCATCATCATGGCGATGAGAGCCTTCCAACAGGGCGGCTTCATCCTCTGAAAAGTTCGACTCAACATCTGAATCAAAGTTGAAGTTTGACTCAGCATCGTCCACTTCATCTATTGCAGGAGCATCCAGATCAGCCTTGTTATATGAGAACAGAATGTTAGAGTCCATAATGTCCTTTCGTCCTCCGCCTATTTCCAATCCAAAACAAGCGATGCTTCTGGCTGGTGAAATGTTGATCTTAAAAACGGTTCTCGAAGCTTTTTTTATGGGCCTTTGCGTTTTTCTTCTCTTGTTCATTTTCGACACATTGTGTGCGCGTTCGACTCTCGCCAGTGGAGTCGGATGTATTTTTCGGTCTACTTTCCAGTTAACAATGCCTACAAAAGTTGCATTTTGTATTGATGACATTGGAATGTTTGATTGATTACTTGGATATATACAGTCATGTGCATATGATTAGATCATCATCAATGGCTTCATTATGTTCTTCTGATAAGCATCGCTATGGGAGTAGAACTCGATCAGGTCATCTGTGTCGATCACCTCTTTGAACTTCTCACCAACGGTAAAGAGGTTCTTCTTGTCAGTGGACTTTGTCCAGAGGGCAATCTTGTAAACGTGTTTTCTATTGCTGTAAACAACACCGTTGACTTCATCTTCGTTGTCCTGAAGCACCTCACCAATCAAAGCGAGACAGATGTTGAGCCACACCTTGTTGATGTCGACATCACGCTTGTGGTTATAACTCTTATTGAACTTTCCACCTTGTGCATTCTTGACGTCTTCCCACTCTGGTCTGATATCCTCTCTGAACAAGTGGTAGTCGGACTTGTGTGGTAATTCAGATGGTTGTGGAATAGAGTTGAAGATTCCCCAGAACTCTTCAACGGATGAAAAAGTGATAACCGGCTTCAAAAGGTCATTCCAGGTTTCATTCTCATCAACTTGCGGCTTGGTGTACCACAAGGTCCATCTACAGTTCAATGGATGCTTCTCACTGAACTCGGCAACGTTATCGCTGTTGATGGAAAGCTCTTGTGTAGCTTGGTTCAATTGTTCTGTCATTTCCAATACACTAATTCAAAAATCTATTCACCCGAGCGTTCAGTAAGTTTCACACGAGATGGTTAATGGGTCGTTGGACAATGTCATCGACGTCGATGCACCTGGATGAATTTTTTTTCAGATGGTCGCGCGAAGCAGGGCCAGCTTGCAATGAGAAAGAACGAGCAACATAGCTTTCGAGACAAAATTGGTACGTGATCGATAGAGAGGGCTTTGTCCTTTGTAATGGGTCAAAAGATGGTTAAATTTTATGGTATAAACGGAATGAACGATAAATACAAGGGTGTATGATATTGCAGTTTATGAATATTCTATTCCACTAATGAAATAATTCTGTTTAGGCACCGCGCTTATGTGAAACACCGAAAATCGGTTTCACAACGAAATGCCTCGCTGGCGCAATCGGTAGCGCTTACGACTCTTAATCGTACGGTTGTGGGTTCGAGCCCCACGTGGGGCATTTACGCTTTCTTTTTTTTTGACTCTGAAGATCTTCATATAATTCTGTTTAAATACACTCAAAGAACTGGTATCTATATTGTTCATATCCTATTACCAGTTTGTAATAGAAGGTGTTACCAAAATTCAATGATCATAGATGTCGAATTTAGTGAACAAAAAGTTATTCCAATCAACACTAATTTATCCAGCTGCTTGCTCATTAAGATCATACTACCGTTAGAACTTCTTGGCACCACCCTGAATATCAAAGTTACAGATACATATACAAAAATACCGGTTGGTATCCACCTGACAAATCGTAATGATATTGTATTTCGTAATTGCCTTTAGTTATATCTTGATCGCATCAAGCTTCAGCTAGTTGAAAAGCGCGTTTCATTCGTTCTCAACTTTGAGCTTCTTAATCGGATCTTGTGAAGTATTTAACGTCCTCTTTGCTGGTAACGTTGAGCTCAATTGTACTGGCTCAGTAGTTCCTTGACGACTCGTAGATGGAGTGGCAGTGCCAGTATTATCCAGATGACATTTACTGTGCTTCTTTCTCTTCAAGGCATCTGGTCCTTCAAACTCTCTTGTGACTGCAAGTAAAAGTGTACTGACCCTTCTTGATAGCTCTTGTGGTGTTCGTGAGAGGAAAAACCAGTCAAACTTGAAATGTTCAGACTTGCGTATTTCTGTTTTCACCCTCTCATATAAATTATCACTTACAAGTCCCAATCTATTCACCGTTATCAATAAAAATCGGTCCTCTAGTGCAGAATAAACTCTTTTCGAATTGTTTGGTGGATATTGGATAGTCATATTGTTGAGCCCATCTTCAAATTGTTGAACCTTTTGAGCGAGTAGCTTTGTCTGAATCATCATCTTCTGTGCTTTCTTTTCACCGGTCTCTATCTGAGAAATGTACTTCTCATAGCCTTCAATCTCCTGATAACGATTCCAAAAGGTTTTCGAATATCTGGCAACCTCTTCTTTTGATTTATTTGGATATTGCTTTGCAATGAGATCAACATTCTCACGTCCAAATTTTGCACAATGTTGAATGAAATTAGTGAAGTCTCTTCTACTCCAGTTGCCAAACGCTTCATCAAGGTATTTTTGCTTCAGTTCCTCCTCCTCAAGAGTCAGAGGCTTTGCTGCCTTGATCTTTGCTTGGAGCTCCTTACGGCGTTTGTCTATTGATTTTGTCCCAGCCGATCCATCTTCTTCAGAGTCGAAGTCATGGCTGGTCACTTTGTAGTTAACAGACTTCTTATAGTACAATTGTTCTTTATCCAATAAATCTTTCACTGCAGGGTTGAAGAATTGATGATCTTGCATATTGATAACTTTTGGGGCCCTTGGAGCCTTTGGCTGTGGTGTACTCTTTGTTTGCAACACATCTTTATAATAATTATCAACAGAATAAACGGCTTCCTTCCTTTCTCTCTTCGATGGATTAATCCACGAAAATGAATCACCATTGTTTCTTTTAGCAAAATTCTCACCATTCCATTCATACGCAGAGTGTTCAGAGGTGAATTTTTGCAGATCGTCCAAACCAAGAGTTGAATATTTAGCATTCAACGTTGCGGTTCTCTCTTCACCTTTCTTCAAAATCTCATCGATATCAGTATCAACGTTGCTTGTCTTATTTTCAAATACTTCTTTTGCTCCGAATTGAATCATTCCCAAAAGATCATCTTTAGTGTTTCCTATTGGGTTACTCTTGTTGGACGCTCTCCCTTGTTGGATAACCAATTGATCAAGACGTAACTTTTGAGCCGCTCTTTCGATAACCTTTTCTTCTATTGCGTTTTCTGTGACAAATCTATACACATAGACTTGTTTTTTCTGCCCAATTCTATGTGCTCTGTCCATTGCTTGTAAATCAGCTTGAGGATTCCAATCAGAATCGTATAAAATAACAATATCTGCAGATGTCAAATTTATACCCAAACCACCAGCTCTAGTTGTCAACAAAAATATGAATTTGTCTGAATCAGGGCTGTTGTAATCATCGATTGCAGCAATACGTTCTTCATGAGATGTTGACCCATCTATACGACAGTACTCATAGTCCCTGAGATAACAATAATCTTCCAAAATATCAAGCAGACGACTCATTTGGGAAAATATCAACACTCTTGAACCTTTTTCCTTCATTCTCTTCAATAGCTTGTCCAAGACCACCATCTTACCTGAATTGAACACCAAATGTTCATCTGTTGTGTATGGAGGACCAGGTTCTGCACCTTCAAATAAATATGGATGGTTACAACACTTACGTAATTGCATAACAATGTTGAGAAGACGAGTTTTACCTTCTCGTTTACCAACAACACCATTTACAGCATCGATATCCTTTTCCAAAAGATTTTTGTACCATTTCAGTTGCATATCTGACATCCCCACGTATAGATTCACCTCTTTTTTCGGTAAGAGCGATTTTTCAACATCCGCCTTTACCCTTCTAAGCAAAAATGGGCTCAGCACTTTATGCAGTTGTTGAACCACTGTGTCCTGATCAGACGAATCTTCCTTGTTCTCAAACCATTGGTCAAAAGCATCAGAATCTCCAAATACATCGGGCAATAAGAAGTTTAACAACGCCCACAACTCATGCAAGTTATTTTGTAATGGGGTTCCTGTAATGAGCAATCTCCCCTTTGAATAAAAGAGTCTGATGATTTGTGAGAGTGCACTCTCCTCATTTTTAATCCTATGTGCCTCATCCACAACGATGTATTGCCATGCAATTTTCTTTAGCGACGCCTTTTCCCTTATAACCATCTCAAAAGATGTCACCAGTACGTCAAATTTTGCCTCCAAGATGGTATTTTGTATAATATCAGATCTTTCCTCCTTGGTACCTTGCAGGACACAAACGTTCACGTCCGGCGTCCATTTCAAGAATTCCCTTCTCCAATTGTCCAACGTAGATTTTGGAACAATGACAATGAATGGACCGTCAATGTTTTTATAATACCGAAGATAACCTAAGAATGAAATCGTCTGGAGAGTTTTACCCAATCCCATTTCATCCGCTAGAATTCCTGATAGGCTGTTCTCATGAAGCGAGATTAGCCAATTAAGACCCTGAATCTGATACTCTCTCAGCTTTCCCTGGACATAACTAGGTGATTCAGACAGTACGGTAGTTGAATCATCCTCGTGCTCTTCATCCTCCATCAACTCTGCGTCCTCCTCCTGTTCTGTCTTTCTCCGGCGCGATGTGCGTTTATTCGACGATGTACGACTCGAATCTTGATCCAATTGCCTCAGAAGCTTCTTTATAGCTGGGTCTCTTGCAGAACGCATATCCAGAAAATGACGAAAGAGATCTGTCAACCCCAAGAGGTATTTGAACCTCTTTGTGGTGTCGCCTTTGTCCTTCAATTTCTCAGTTTTGGCGTCACTTTCGAGAAGAAATCGCTTCTTTCTCTCAAGCTGTGTCTCCTACGAGGATATATGAGTTAGTATCGTTACAACGCGTCAACGAAAGCAAGGATTCACAGTGATCACTCGCTGCTTATCTCAATTCTTTACTCACGGCCATCGTTATATTTCAGCGCTATCTCCCGTGTTCACTTGTTTTGATTTATACCAAACGTATCGCTCTTAGATCACAATCGTGTTGCTAGCCGCCCGAGCTTTCCTTCTCCAAAACACAAAGAGTAATACCGATGATCTCAATTGTAAACAAACAGAATACCAACAAAGAATCGGTGTATAAGTTTGAAAAGGACGAAGGAATTTCCAAAACCCTTCTCTTAAAAAAAGAGAACCACAAAAACAAATTGGAAAAGGGAAAATCCACAAAAAAATTCCAAAAAAAAGGTTCTGTTTAAAACCTCCAAAACAAAAACAGAACTACAAAAACCAAGAGCGAGACGTATGTATGCAATACTGCACAATTTTTTAACGGTGCATCTCAAGTAAGGCCCCCAAAAAAAAGAGAAGAATCTTATGTTGCGCATACCGTGTCTTTATGTTTTCTTTTTCTTTCTTTTTGTCGTTTCGCGGTGCTAATTGGGTACATGTGGCGCGTACCATGTGTATAAGGGCGCGCTTGTGTATTTTGTTAGTGTTTGCTGTTGTCTTCAACTTTCAAGTATTTGTAGTAATTTCACTTGTATTAGACATCTCAGTCAGCGGCTCTATACCTTATATGGGTTCATTTTGATCGTTAATTCTTGCACAATACCGCGGAGGGAACGATGTCCAGAGAAGATGAGGCGAGAGCATTCCATTATGCGGTATACGATATGGTTCAATCCATACCCTATGGCAAAGTAACTTCATATGGCCATATAGCCAAGTTGGTCTATAAACCGAGAAACTCCAGGCATGTAGGGCAAGCGCTGAAATCTTTACCATCGGAGGGAGTTGTAAAGGATTATCCGTATTCACAAGAAAACGTTCCATGGTGGCGTGTTATATCGAGCTCGGGTGTAATCAGTGTTAGAGACCGTGATGCAATGCAACGGCAAGCGACGATGCTAAGGAGAGAAGGCGTTGAAGTTGGTGAAGGTAATTACAAGATAAGTCTCGTAGATTATGGATGGTTTCCGGAAACTGAATTTGATGACTACTGATGTTGAATTGTTTACTACCTATGTATATGCTCATCCTATGGGACTGATTGCTTTCGATAACGTCTGGTGTTGTTGTTGTTGTTGCTGTTGACCCGTTTCTTATGCTTGCGCTTGTTATCGGCTTGCCCATTATGACTGTTATTATTCATGTTCATCTGTGCCATTTCCTCTTGTACACGACGGCTTTCTTCCTCCCACCATTGGGCAAATTCTTCTTCCTGTTGAATTTCAACCAACGACTTCACAGGCGTACGCTTAGCCTCAACAACCTTGTGCTGCTCTTCATGGATGATCCCCTTTAACGAAGGAGTGGTAGTGCTAAGAGCCTCTTCCCTGGCTTCCGATATTGAAAGAGTCAATGACGATGAAGAACTTGCACTGGGGATATTCCATGGTGAGTGAGATTTGGATGGGGTAGTGATGGTTTTATCCTCTTGTTGTTTCATCAGCTTTTTGCGTTCTTTTTGAGAAAGCCTCTTGCTGGAGAAATTAACTTTTGGTGTATTAGCAGAGTTACTGAGACCATTCTCAGTATCGAGTGGCAACCACGCAGAGTTACTGCATGGAGAACTAGGAATTGATAAAGGTGATGACCAACTTGAAGGTGTACCAACTGATTTAGAACTCACAGCGCTGTAATTAGGCCATGCACTATCACCGGGTTGCTTGGAATGTCCTCCTTTAACAATTGGAATGTTCTTTGGTGAAGTCCCAACAATCCTTGACGGAGTGGAAATTGTACCATTGCCTCTAGAGCTAGACGTTGTGATGGAAACAGAAGGTGAAGAGGAGGATGATCTGCGACTAGCAGATGATTTCCGACGACGATTTATCACCGGCTGGAAATCATCCTCAACGAACTCAATAGCAGTGCTGTCCTGTGCCATTGCAGCTGATTTCCTCAAGTAGTCCGCAAAACTCTTTGTTGAAATAGGAGTTGAAGTACTGCTTGCTCTATGAGGTGTGCAATCTGCCTCAGGAACAGCCACATGCTCTTTGGTCTTCTTCGGTGCCAGTTTTGGCGATTTGACAACAACTTTTTTCTCTGGTTCATCAAAAAGTGGGACGAAATCATCATAGGTTAGGAATATATCATTGAAATCCCTTCTAGAATCGAGAAATTGTTTTAGAAGTTCATCACTGTCTCTGTCATACCAATGTGCTTGAACGTCAGCATGAACATATTTGTTGACTCTTTGTAACCATCTGCAGTACTTGTCAATTCTGATGATTGTAGACTTATTCAAAAGCCCATAGTTCATATCATTGATATGGTGATCAACATTGTTATAGATGAACCATAGACATTCACCTACCAGCTTCTGACAATCAAGAAGTTCTGCATGATGCAGAATCAACAAGACATTATCTGAGTCGATAAAGTCCTTAATCATCAGTTGTGCGAAATCTTTCAACCCGAATAGTAAAAGTTCATCGCTGACTTCGATAATTTCGAAACAAAAGTTTATAAAGTCTGCTGCAACAGTGTATTTCTTATCATCGAGAAGTGTTAACTGTTCGGCACCGTAGATATAATCCAAAACGACATCAAAAACATCTTTACCAATGTGAGTGAACTCAAGTGCAGTATTGGAGTCCCATCTTTCGGAGAACAACGTTTCGAAATATGCACTTCTCGCTTTCAGAACTGTCGACCAACAATACACAGTGTGGTTATCCCTTAGTTTTATCGACACATCATTGACAATAAGACTGTGATTGCTTAGAGCTGTATGTATGTCATAAGTCAATCTATTCAGAGAGTCTGTGAGCCTTATATTCTCCAACAATACACGAGTTTCATGCTTCACTTTTTTCATTAATGGTGATACTTCCTCTGAATCCTCCCAAGGTTTCAAGTATTCACCTGTGTACAGGACATTGAGCATTATCAACAAAGTCAAAGGTTCAAGGTTTTCCACTTGAATAACACTGCGTTTATCAACCTTCTGAAATCTGAAATCCTCAATCAACAGGTCTTCATTTTCGATATCGCCAAACTTTTCAATGAGGAATAAAAGTCCTTTATGTACCCCAAAAATATCACCACCAACATCAAAGAACAGATCATATCCTTTGTCATTATCGAAACATGTACTAAACAGTTTCATATCACAATGGCTCAAATGCATAAGGTGTTCTGTGTCAATTTGTTGGAAAGTGTTATCAATAGTTTGTGTCATAGTCCATCTATCTTTGTAACATTTGTACAGTAAGTCACCCGGCGTTTGTTCCCCATCATTGGATTCCTCAGCTGCTTTCTGGAAATCATTGGAGCCACCTTCTAGGGATTCATACTCTGGCTTGTTTAGGAAATTTATCGTGTAGCTTTCGTATGTATCTGGGCTGATAAGTTCAGAACGTCTTCTACCAGAGACACATGCACGCAGTGGTGAAAGATGGCCGATATCAATAAGGAATCTATTTTTGAATAGCTCAAGTGGTAGTTGATCGACATCGTCTTTAATAAATCCAAAAGATGTGAACAGAGAGTCGCAGAACACCTTGACAATTTTTGAGAGACGTTCAATTTTGGTGAATTTGAAATCGATCTTGTTCTTACGGTACACTCGTTTATAACAGCATCCCGACTTCACCACGATGATGACAGACCCATCAGATCCAATGTCAACATCTGTACACTTCAGGTGACTGTTTCTAGGTGTCCAGACTTCAGATGTCTTGATATTTGAGCTTTTAGAGAACTCATCCACTCCAAAGCTCGAAACACTTCCATCATCGTAAAGAATTGCAACATGACATGAATTCTTACCAACAAGTTTAACAATTGATCTCTTCCTAGAGAGCCCTGTGGGTCTAAAGAACTTAAACTCATCATTGAATGCCTTGAATAGAGGAATCTGGAATCTGATTTTATTACCGTGCGTGAGAATATGACACTCGTCGGATTCCAGTAGAACAAATGTTGCCTCTTCCGTAGCTAGTACCTGTTTTATAACGTTTGGGAATTCAACAACCCTTGGATGCTGTACTATTCCCTTCAATTTCCCATGATATACTGTTTCCCCCGTGCTTACAATGTCCATTTGACCAACGTTCAGCCCCCAAACAATGAGTGATCTTTCGGAATACGCACAACTGTGAATCTTTGAGCATGCAATCCCCTTTACTTTAATCCTTTTCAATCCATTAACGACTCGTTTCGGAGTATCACCAAAGGTGTCAGGTTTACTCCTTACAATCTCAGTGGGGTAGCCAAGCTGATAGAAGTTATTCAAACCCCAGGAGTATACATGGCCGTTGGATGTCAGCACCAAAGAATGGTCATCGCTAACAACGACCGACCGGATATGCTCATCCTCAAAGTAGTTCAGCTGTGTGAGCTTATACTGTGGTATAGAATTCCCTGTCCCCAAGCGACCCCTGGAGGCATTTCCCGCAACAAGCACGTTGTTATACGGCTCGTTTGTGAGAACGACTGAGTGGTTCTTCGATATCGCAAACTCTTTGATCCGTGGCTTCACAAGTCGATCTGCTATGCCCAGGGATTCATTCCGTAGTCTAAAATTGGGTACTTCGATCTTAAACGGTGTTTTCAACCGATCGTCAGCATCTCCAGTGGCTAGCTGGTAGTTCACATTCACTCCCATCGTGAAGATATCTGACCCACCACGTGTATCCTTATCCCACCATATCAGTGGATCCTCGCACTTCACATCCGGAAACCTCTGCACAAAGTTGGTATCGTGCTTGCCAATACTCTGTGGCCAGATCCTCAGGTTTCTCTGCGAATACTGTAAGTGGTATATGTCCATTGCCGTGAGCCCATTGCGATCCTTAACCTTCACCAGGTCGCTGTTATGATGCACCAAGAGACGCGCACAACTCAGTCTCCCATAGAATATCGCATAGTGAAGACCTGTCCACAGGTTCTCCCGGTCTGTGAGCGTAGCAGAGCACTGTGGGTTGGCCAACAGCGACTCAAGCAGGTCAAAGCGTCCCAGTAAACAAACCAGATGGATTAGCGCCCGCCCAAATACGTCTCTCGACTCGAGCTGGGCCTTGCTGAGCTTCCTGAGCCGCTCTTTGAGGACACCGGTGGGCTCAGAGCTATCACCAGCCATTTCAGCAGCAGCAGAGAGAGAGAGCTTTGGTGTGCAAGTTGCTGTTGTAGCAGGTGCCTTCCACCGTCTACAAACCTGGCTTTGTGTTGTTGTTGTTGTTGTTGTTGTTGTTGTTTTCTCTTCGCGTTTCAATCCTCGGCGGTTGTGCGCTTGACGACGCGAGGGCGGTGGTGATCCACGTGAACACAGCGAGCAACGTGGAGAGACGAGCCGATGATTGGGGGCAGATGTTACTTCAGCTAAGAAACTATAGGGAAATAAACATGAGATGGCATACTGGTTATATATGGAGCTTGTATATATGCTCATTGGACTCTCACCTTGGACAAGATGTTGACCAACAAGTCGTTTGGCTTGTTGCTGACAGCGCCAACAAGCTCGCCCTGTTTGAGCTTGTAGTCTCTAATGTTGTCAAAGTACTTGTCGAACAAATAGGAGGAGTCCAATGGACCACCCTTAGCCTCTGGGTGGAATTGTGTGGAGAAGATTGGTCTTGAGGTGTGGATCATACCTTCGTTGGACTGGTCGTTCAGGTTAACAAAGTATGGCTTCCAGTCAGCTGGTAGGGTAGTCTCATCAACGGCGTAACCGTGGTTTTGAGAGGTGATGTGACATTTACCCGTGGTCAAGTCCAGAGCTGGAATGTTGTGTGCTCTGTTACCGTACTTCATCTTGACGGTCTTTGCACCGGCAGCCAAGGCAAGGAGCTGGTGACCGAGACAGATACCGAAGATTGGCCCCTGGTATGATTCCATGGTCTTCTGCAAGTTGTAGACTGTGGAGGAACAGTGGGTTGGATCACCTGGACCGTTGGAGATGAAGATACCGTCAAAGTTGCTTGCAATCTCCTGGATTGGGTAGTCGTAAGGGAACACTGTAACAGAGGCACCTCTAGAGACAAGGGATCTCAAAATGTTCTCCTTGACACCGCAGTCAATAACGGCAACGTGGTAATCACCAGTTGAGGCAACGTGGAATGGTGCCTTGGTGGAAACCTTGTGAACCAGGTTCACAGAGCCAGGATCAACAAAGGCTTCGTCCTCATCGGCGTCGTACTCTTCACCAATGGAGATACGGGCAAGAGAAGAACCTTGTTCTCTCAAGAAAGTGACGATGGCTCTGGTGTCAACACCGGTGATGGCAGCAACACCCTCCTTTTGGCACCACTCACTCAAGGATTGGACAGCTGTCCAATGCGAGTACTTGAGAGCAACGTCAGCGACAACAATACCGATACATTGTGCGTGTGGAGACTCAAAGTACTTGAGAAGGTTGTACTGGTCACGGGTCTCGCCGGATGGGACACCGTAGTTACCAATCAAAGGTTGTGTAAAGACCAGAATCTGACCCTTGTAAGAAGGATCGGTCATAGACTCAGGGTACCCAACGATGGAGGTCGTGAACACAGCCTCACCAGACACGTTTTTGTTGGCACCGAAGGAGTAGCCATCAAACACAGGCCCGTTTCTGATGGTGAAGGTGGCTCTGTCAAGCTTCGATGCGGAAGTGAGGTTCGAGCTGCTGGTGGCCAAAGAACGAACAGAGCTCAATCTGTGGAAAACAGCTCTTGACTTGATGAAGTTTCTTGCAATGAGAGTAGACATGGTTCAGGTGTTTCAAAGATAATAGATAGACAAGTGAAGGGGAGAAGTTGTTGTTTTAGTGTTGGCTGGTTTTCCAAATGTGATCAGAGATGTAGTCCTGGCAAGTGAATTCTGTGGCAAATTTCATAAAACAAATTCGGCCTCAATTAACACGGTAGTTCTCTCTATCTTAACGCAGTCAGAGAGGATCTTTCAATTGGGCAATTGAGTTATAGGAGAATTTATCTATGTTTGTTCTGTTATTCCAAGTTCTTGGAAGTTGATCAGAAGGGAACAGGGAAAAAATCTCTATGAGAATTTTTCACGTCGATGGGGTCAGGTTTTTTTTTTCTCCCTGCCGCTGCTTATCTACTGACTCACACCTAAAAAACAGCCAGAAGGACAACAAAAAACACGCTAGGCTGCCGTCGTGGGCGTAACCACATGACATCAACACTTTTGCAAAGGGCCGTGTATGGTGTGTTACGTAATGGTGGATTCGAAACAAGCTATTCCATTTCAACTATCGTATTTAAGCCTCAACTCCTTTTTGAACCCATGGAGCAGAAGTTTTCTCTCTTGCTTTAGTTCTTGCAAGGTGACGACGTGGTCCTCGTTTTCATGCTTGATGATCCACTGCTCGTTGGTCGCTAGTGTGCTGACCAGGTTGATGATTGCACAGTAGAGCTCGGCCATGGTGAGCTGGACCGAGTCCGTGTCATTGTGCTTGTTGCGCACGATAAACGAGTAAAGTGCCTCTGATGCGCCCCTGAAATTGCCATACGACAGACGGTGTGCGTACAGCACTTGGTAGAACCACAGGGATTTGGAGACATCGTCGGTCTGCGCCCTCTTCAATATCAACGAGTCAACCTGTGGGTCCTCTCTTAAACTGGTGAACTCCTTCAGTCTGTTAATCTGCTGATGCTTGCACATCTTGTACAGGAATTTTGTCAACGCCTCCTCTCTCATCTTAGGGTCTTTGATATAGGGTAAGGCATCGTTGGCAACGACGAAATCGAGCTTTTCGATAGCACAGGTGAATAGAACGTATGATTCGTGTTCTAGGTATTTCTTATCAAATCCTGTGCCGTTTCTCTTTTCAGCAAGTAACGTTAAAAAGTACTGTGCTTGGTCAAAATTCAAGTTGTTCAAAAACAAGATTGCAACATTGAGATAGTACTTGCCAACTTTCGGATCAAAGAACATCTTCAAATCTTCAACAAATGAAAGTGCTTGCGCTTCATCTGGGGTGAGTTGGTGCTTGGATATTTCATCCGCATGGTTGGCAAAATACTTCGATGCCTTGACAGGTTGACCAATTTTGAAAAAGACAAACGCCTTTAACAAATTGAATACCACTGTGCTATCGAAGAATCTCAGTAAGCGTTCGTAAACCAAACAAGACAAGTTTTTGGAGATCAAAATGGTTACAGCACTGTACAAGAATTCAGGCTTCAAGATGAACGGGATCACCGCGTTGTTGATGAATGGAACAATTTGAAAACTTGACACTGGAAACTGCGCACTGTATCTTCTCGTGAGGACCTCCGTGAAAAGAGTGTTTCCCGTCAATACCGCTTCATCAACTTCAATTTGACCCTCCTTGTTGAAGCCAATTTCCCAAACCATGTCGAAAAGATCAAAGGATATTAACAATTTGACAATTTTCTTAGAAAGTACATTAAGTAAGTTCTTATCGTCAAAGTCCAAAACGAGCAACAAGATCAATATGGCAAAGGAAATGTTTCTTCGGACGTTTATAGACTCCCAAGTTGCAATAGCAAACACGTCAACGCCCAATGCACTAAGCCTACTCTTTGTCAACTGGTTGCTCTCATCGTCACTGGATTGTAATTTTACCGCACCTTCAACAAGCGAAAGAATGTTTTCAAATCCTGTCAACTGATCAACGAGTTTATTCAGGTTCACTGGATTGATTTGATCTCTCAAATGATTGGCATAGATATTCGACAAAATGGTTTCAGTTGCCTGGGTAGGATGGGAAAATGTTCCAACCACTTCATTATAAACCTTTTGTAGGACATCTCCGGAGAACGAGTTCTTGAACTCTGTTATTATGTTCATAAATTTTAAGTATGCATCCCGATCAGTCCCGAACGATTCAACTTTTAACTGTTTATTGCAATCGATGTACTCAACGGGGGAAATTGGCCTGACAATGGAAAACCGTTGACGATTTAGGATGACTGCATAGTTTGATTTCTCATCCAAGTGCAGCTTTAGAGGTTCTTCGCATTGCCTTTTTAATTCCAGACAGAGCATGTAAAATCTTGACCACTGCACCTCCAAAGAACTGTCATATTTAGGATTGAAGGTTATACCTCTGCTCACAGACTTTATAGTTCTTTCACACAAGGAAACATCTTCTAATAATTCCTCCTTCTCTAAATCTTTTAAAAAATGCTGTTCAAAGATTGGCAATGCAATCTCAATGATCTGATTTGTGAAAAGTCCAGTTTTGAACAACTGTTTGATATAGTACTCGGACCACGTTTCATAAATCCTTTTAGTTATCTCCACACTGGAATCCAGAACGTCTGTCCATGTTGGGTTCAAATCGCCATCAACTTCTAAAGTTTGTACAAATGAGGATGTATTGCTCTTCCATAGCACCCAAAGTTGTAATTTATTTTCATGTGATGCCAATTTAAAATCGGCAAGGAGCCAAATGGCACTTTCAGTTGGCAACGAGCAATCGAAGGTGTATCTAGAGCCAAGGTCGTTGATGTCAAAGGATTCTGTGTTGATGGAAAAGATCTTGAATGAACCTTTACCAAATGGTAAATATGTGGTGAGGTATGTCGATTCTTCTCTAAAGATCTCCAATGTGGCAATATTCAATATCTTTGTATGTGACTCGTCAAAGAAAGATTTAGAGTCTGGACCATCTGGCGCAAAATCTGCCAAATTCTTCTCTAGAACCAAACTTTGTGTTTTCATAGACCAGATTCTCAAATGTCTGTTAAGTGTCACGGTTATGATATAGTCTTTAAAGTGTATAATGTCAATTACAGTCTTTGCAGAGAGTTCATGATCCACCATAAAGTTGTTCTTCTTGGACCAAGGCTTCCAAAATTGACCCAAACTTTCCAAATACGAGCTATCGTTGTACACCAAAGGCTCGGTTGCAAAGCCATGTGTTCTTTGCAGCGCCACGACACCGCCATCCTTGAGCAAAACCAGGAGATAATCCGCGCTGAATGCGTACAGCATATGTGGTTTTCTAATATCGAAGCCGTATGGTTGAGAAACGCTTGACCATTCTTTATGGTTTGCAGAAGAAGCGAACGGCGTGCTTGAGATGAAGTCGCTCAATTTCACTATAGCAGTGATCAACACATCTGTCTCCGTGAGACAGTCAATGATAATGGCCTGATCACCTTCCTCAGTGGTGAACTGTACAAGCGTCAGACAATTGGATCTAATACGGTCTGGTAAGTTAACCTTTATCGACCTTGTTGAGACGCCAACGTTATTCACCAGCGCCACAGGAGATAACAGCACAGAGTACCCACTGTCCAGTACTCTGTAGACAACCTTACTAGGATAAGCATCACCGTGCAACTCTAGAATGCCACTGTCGTTAGCCGCCAAGGTCAGTTTGAAACGCTCTTCTGGATCAACAGTGGACCCAACATCCGGCCTTGAAGGGCCCCAGAGATGACGTGCAACATCCAGCTCTAGCACATCTGTGGCACTATCGGAGGTCACCGTGGTTCTCTTGTGTGTTGTAGCTAACACCATCGTTAAGCCGCGAACCTTGTTTCGAGTTCTTGCTATGAGTTGATCCTCCTTGCTCGAGTTCTTTGTTTACACTTTTACTTAGCTTTCGCTCTGGGCCTCTTTTTTTTGCTTCTGCCCGCGCACTAGTGTAGAGCGTGTTACCCGGACTTATTGGCCCTCCAGCGCGCCGCCGCCGCCGTAGAAGCCAATGTGGGAGCCCTAAACCGCCGGGTAACACTTCTCTCACCGTTTGTCGTTTGAGCCGGCACAGCAGTTTCGGTTGAAACAGCAGCTTTCGGTTCTCGCAACAAAACAAATGTTTGTCCAAATTTTATAAAGCGGACGGAGAAAAATTTTTCACTCTGTGTTTTCTTCGTCAACGTTCTTTCCTCCCTTCCATCACCAGTTCGTTGAATACGTCGTGGGTAGTGGGCTGCTCGTGGCACGCATGAGAAAGACACATTGTCGAGGAAGTGTGGAAGTATGGGATAAGCAAGCATTCTGTTTTGTTTTTATTTTCATTGTCATTTGAGAACACAATTACTATGATGATCCAACACAACACAAATTTCAAACTAGAGTATGTGAAGTATACGCTAATGATCTGAATTGCTTTGGCTGATTGTAATTGTTGTTCTCGAAGACGTGCCCCATCCTTTGTGTGATGCGGACCTTTTGTCCGATGATTGAATACAGGTGTATTCCTTCCATTCTTCCTCCACAGGTTCTTTCTCTGTTGCGAGAGGCTGTATGAAATGGTGAGTTTTTACGCTATATATATAGTACCCTACTGAGGTTATTGCTTCCCCCTCTCTTTCCTTCTGCTGTTCTTTATTCTATGATGACTGAAAAAAACTAAAGCTGGAATTACTGGCTGATTCTCTGTGATGGATAACGTTTTGCTATTACTGATTTTAAAGTGCCCAGGAAGAGGAAGAGGTGGAGGAAGAAGGCTTCATCTCCAAGTTTATACAAAATAACTAACCATGAATAGAAAATCATCTCCTCTTTACCGTTCTGTAAAGCACCTTTGTTTCTTTTGAAGAGCCAATGGATATGACGATCCACAGCACTGGGCACTGATTTTACAATAAAACTTGTATGAGTGACATGCTTCTTAGTGGGCCTAGAAAACCCACGTTACTGATCTATTTTGGTAACCAAAAGAAAAACAATGGTTTGTAACCGAAGAGGGCCTTCAGCCCTGTCTGAAAGTGTAAGCTTCCATTACTTTTCCGCTGGAGAATGGCCAATGACAGAATTGAACTCATGTGATGATACCCATAGATGACGAGTCAGATTTCCGGTTTCCGGATGACGATAAACACTTTTTTAATACCATTCATGCTTCACTGATTTACCACGTTCGATTTCTACACTTGGTTGGTCATTCTCCAATGTTGCTTTGTCTACTCATTGTACTAACATCTGTCTTAGACAATGTATCCAAAGGAAGAAAGGGTTTTTCCTGTTAACTTTTGGTGACATAGGATGATTCTTGAAATAAAAATTGACAAGCATATGTCTGACTTTTTGTTTGAGGACAAATATTTCCAGTCTGATGTCAGCAAAAGATAGCAAAATGGATTGCTTTGTATTTGCTATTCGATCTCTGAAGAAAAGGTATGTGCTCTCTCTGCTTCTCGCTATCAATGATGATACTCCCCGAATCTTGTTTATGATGATTTTCCACATTTCACGACGGTCAACTGCGTTTCACCCCTGTTAAGGTGGAACTTTGATGATAATCTGCCCCTGACAGGGCGTGGTGCTGATAACAGTGGTTAACGGGTTGATGAAGTTCAGTTGATATGTTTCCATTTGGTGCTTTCGCATCTGATGATTGTGTACTAACACACTGAAACAGGTATGTCTCTCTGCGTATTTGGCTCACTTGTACAGGTTACGACGTCATAATGATGATTTTATAAACCGATTAGTCTTTATGAACTACTCAAGGATTAAAAATTTTTACCTAGATTTGCATGTCAGGCTGATTACTGTTTGTACATTGTACCAAGTGATGTTGATTTGGCTTTATACCAGTCTTACTAACGTTTTATATTGAGATAGTTATCAGTAATTTCTTTACAAATACATGCTAAACTCACCCTCTGTTAATCGTATTACCACTTCCCTTTGCGTGTGACTCTGTGAAGTCGTCCCATTGTCGTTTCTTGTAGGTCTCTTCGTCTGCTTTCTCCATATCATCTTCATCCTGGTCGCTTCCATACGCACCGTCATTCCCGCCACTACCATTAACCATTCCTCCATTCGCCAATTCTTGCTCCAAGAGCTCTTCCACCGTCATGGTTGGTAGATACTGGCCTGTTCCATAGACATTTCTCTGCAAATCTGACCTCTTCATCAGGGTAAACGGTCTAAGAATCTTGCCATCTTTGGACAAGACATCCTTGTTGACATATTCCAGCTTGTCTGTAAACTTTGTCGGATCATTCTTACGTTGTCTCGGATCATCATCCTCGATCTCCTGCAGTTTCACCTCTGGTGCATTCATCATAATCTCCAACTCCTGTTGTAATACCCTGATTGTATCAAAGCTCCTGATGGTGAACAGTTTCAACTCGCTTGTTGACAAGTCTCTAATCAACTCTTCATCCGCATTGTTATAGTCATCCTCGTTGCTCTCCAGCTTGTCCAACTGCTCCAACTTCACCGCTAGTTGTTTCTCCAACCTGTAGTTCGCAATCTTCTCATCTCTTCGCAACTGGGCATCGACATGTAACGATTGTAACGTAAATGGCTCCTTCTTCAGCAGCTCGACCTTTGCCTCTTCTGATTTCTCCAGCAGCCCATAGTTAGCCAGATTGGTCAAGAAGTGAAGATAGCATATAATGCTCTTCTTCAAGTTCTGGACCCGTGACTGTCCTTGGAACTCCTGGTAGAGGTTGGCCAAATGGTAATCCACAACCAGATACTTGATCTCAGAGGTGTTGATGTCTTCAAACGACTCGTTCGTAGAGAATATCCCTCTGCCAGTGATTGTAGTCTTGAGTTCTACAAACTCATCAATCGCCTTCCCAACACGCGCCTGATACTCCTCGGAATCATGGCGAACAGTCAGCTTAGCGATGGACGAGTAGTCCTCCACGGCATCCCTGTACAATTGCTTCAGCGTCCTTTCCACGTGTGACGCCATTCTCACTGTCCTGCTATCAAACACTTGCTATCCCACGTCCTTCCCACTACGCTGCCCGCAATGATGGTATGATCTGCCAATGGATCGCTGTGCTCCATCCCGTTTTAGGTGGAGCTGGCCAGGCAGTGGTGGTGATGCCGATGTACTTTGGCAGGCACACGCACATCGCCTGTCCACCCTGTCCGAGAAAGCCCTCTAAATCCGCACAGCGCGCACCGACACCAACCGTTGCGCTGCACGCAACACACACAACACAGTATAAAAGGATCTGCGAGCCCACACTCTGTCGGTGCCAATTGACCAGGAAGTATAGGCTGAACTGAAGAGGCACCAAGGAAGAAATACACTATCAAATGGCTGAATTACCTGCTGTCTACTACAACAAGGATTCCGACTCCTTTGCGTTCTCAACTGCCCGTGTGCGCTGGGTGAAGATCGTGCAAGATGCCCTGGAGGACATCAACGATGCCGGTGCGAAGACGTCTGGTGAGGCCCAGCAGCAGGCCAAGGTGATTGCTGGGAAGCTCCAGCAGCTGTTGGTCGATTTCGAGGAGGATGCTGTTGTTCAACCTCTTGTTGGCGGCTTGAAGCAGTACGAGTCTTATAACAGGGCTCTCAGTGCCGAGGACTATACCTGGTTAACAGGTCCGTGGTTGTTGCTTGAGAACGTGCTGTACCGTCTGATCAACTCTTGGTTCGTGGAGCAGTCGCACTGGTTCAACTACGATATCTTTGCGAACCTGAAGAAGGAATCGTTTGAATCCTCTGTTGCTGGAGTCACCGAGCTGGCTGTTCGTTATGCTCAGCTGGATAAGGAACGTCAATCCTCTGCAACGGGGATTAAGCCAGAGTTGAAACAGCTGCTGTTTAAGGAGTTTGCTGAAATCTCACTATGGGGTAACGCAACTGACCTTTCACTATTGGCTACAGCTACCTTGGAAGATATCGCTTCTATCCAAGGCGCAGAGGCCAGAAAGAAGTCTGAAGATAAGATCTTGACAAACGATATCGACCTGGCCTACGCTCAATTGATCTCCTCAAAGGAAAAGATTAGAAAGGTTGAGATCGTCTTGGACAACTCTGGGTTTGAACTGTACACTGATCTCGTTTTCGGTCTCTTCCTGTTGGATTTCAACTTGGCTGACAGGGTGACATTGCACACGAAGGATATCCCATGGATGGTCTCCGACGTTAATTTGAAAGACTTTAACGTTGTTCTTTCCCAATTGAAGGATACCAATGTGTTTGACAAGCACAGGGATGAATTGGACTTCTTCATCAACAAAGTGGAATACCTGTTCAACACTGGTAAGCTCACTTTGGAAACATCTCCTTATTGGACTCTGGACAAAGACTTTTGGGAAATCTCTCCTGATGAACAGGAGTTTGGAGGCTCAGAATTGCATGAAAGATTGTCCTCTTCAGCCTTGGTCATCTTCAAGGGTGATATGAACTACCGTAAGCTCACAGGTGATAGAAGATGGCCATCTACAACTCCATTCTCAAGGGCCATAGGTCCATTGGCAACTTCTGGTTTGAAGATCCTATCCTTGAGAACAGTTAAGGCTGACGTCTTGTTAGGGCTGAAGGAAGGTGTCTACGAAGATATCACTGAAGAATGGGGAAAGACCAACGACAACAAGCTATCCTGGTTGTACTCTGGTAAATATGCCGTTATCAGTTACGCAGATGGTGCTGCTCATTAGGATACGAGGGTATTAGATTAATAGAGTGTTACTGTCGTTGTTTATATGCTGTAGTGTATTCACTCGTTTGACTGTTGAGGTTGCGCCTGGTTTGTTGGAGGGATCACGAACGGGAATCCAAAAGGTGGCATCATAGGAATTGGCATCTGTGGTCCTGTTAGATTCGGTCTCTTTGCATCACCTCCTGATTCCACTCCGGTTGTTCTCTTGATGCCTCGCTTCTCCCTCTCTTGTTCCAACAATTCGTCAATCTTTTGCTTCAAGTCGTCATTTGGCTTCAAAGTGTCGAGATAGAGATCAGGCTTGGAGCAATTTGGACACACGAGGTCTTTCTCGAGGAGTATATCCTCAATGGTATCTCTTGAGTAATTTTTACCACAACACGGAGTTGTCACTGGGTCCTTCATCACTTTCCCCGTGATTGGGTCTAGCAGTTCAACATCAACATCTTTCAACAAGTCCAACTCGTTCGTCTTATTAGCTCTTTTTTGGTACTCACCCCATGTTTTAGAATCTGCAACTTGGACAACGTATTGGCCTTCCTCGTTCATAAGATAGGTCTTTGACGAATCATCCTCAGGCTTTTCAACTGTTTTCAAGTACGTCTTTGGGATACCCGTGGTTCTCTTGATCCTCTTGCCTTCCCAGTTAGGATCGTTATTCGTTGGACAATTCTTGATCCAATGGTCTTTGGACCCACATCTATAGCACATGTAACCTGGTGGAGGCACGTCATCTGGGTTATTTCCTGTCGTTGCTGCTGAAGGTTGCGGCTTGTTGAACACCGGCGTGGCATTCGCCATTGTCTGCTGGGCCTCTCTCCACTGATCGCTTTGGTTCATAAACATCATCTTGATACGATCCTGTTCCGATAGCTGACTATCTACAGCTGCACTACCACTCACACCGCCAAAATCGGCGCTGCCGCCGCCGGTGATGCCCTGCTGACCGCCATTGGTGGTGTTGTTATTCAGAGTAACTTTAGTGATACGAGGCTTCCCCGTCACGTAGCGCGCACCTGTTCCCTTCCCTGGTCTCGAAGGAGGCGAGCGTCTCACAATCACCGATGTGGAACGTGGAATCACAAGCGTGTCGTCAGTATACTCCTCATTCGTATCGTTGTTGTACAACCGCAGGTCAAACCCAGTGCCGTCACCAAGCTTGTTATCGTTGATTATCTCCTTCTTCAAGTCAAACACCGTTATGCCCGTCCCGTCGAAGAGTATTCTGGACGTGTTCTTCTGCGAGCGGAATCTATAGAAGATCGTCGACGACATCGGTGAATTGCTTCGTCTCTGAGCCCGTTCTGTTCTTTCTTCAATGAGACGGATGTGTGAACTTGATGGGTTTGAAATTCTTCGCGAGGAAATTGGTGAGGGAAATCCGGGCTAAAAACAAAAAAGAAGTATCAAGTACGCAAATATAAACACATCAACATAAACACAGCAACAGGCATTCAACAGGAAACGCTCCGTAACAGCGATCAACATCAACGACTAAGGAGAATCCCTGAGCTCTGTTTACTGTGTGATTCTGTGTCTGTGTGTGCTATCCGTGTGCTTTGAACTTGAAGGAAAGACAAGAGAACGAACGAGATATTGAACAATGAGTAACCAAGGGTACTACGAAATCTACAGAAGAAGCACGTAAGTATATGTACAAGGTGTGAGAGGCTCTTCAAGGGCCGCTGCTGATGTCGCACGGGAACTAACAAGCGGCTTCAACGTCTAACAGGCTAGGCATGTCCCTTACGGAGGCACTGGATGCGCTGATCTCAGACCAGCGCATCCAACCACAGCTTGCGATGAGGGTGCTTGCGAACTTTGACCGTGTTGTGTCGGACAACCTGAAGGAGAACGTCAAGTCCAAGCTCAGCTTCAAGGGCCATCTCAGCACGTATCGTTTCTGCGACGATGTCTGGACGTTTGTCATAAAGGACGTGAACGTCAAGCTCGACCATAACGAGACGATCACGGCTGACAAGATTCGAATCGTAGCTTGTAACTCGAAGAAGGCTGGCGAGACATAGTGAACGTGCGATCTTATAGCTTTAACCCCCACCAAATGAACAACAAGATGGTTTAATACTTGTAGGACCCCCCGTAATTGGAAAGACCCCTTCGAAACTAGGAATGGTTATGAGCGTGTGTTCATTCCACGCGAAAATGTGTGTCCCCGCCCGATTGTGAGAAATCCACTGGGGATCGCTTGTTTACACCAAATCGTCTTTTGCAGTAATGACTGAAGCCACTTTTATCAGCTAAATTTATATCATCGGTTATCCTCAGAGGCACAGCAGAGAGCAGATGAGTTATCCACCTCCACAGTTCAGTGCGGCCAGCTTCAGCATTTCTCGATGGGACATGGATTCCATCAAGGTGAGTTAATACACCGGTTCTTTAGTGCTAAGAGGCCAAGAGGCAAACTAACCAGGAACTAAAAAAACAAAGCACCAAAACCCATATCTCCATCACAGGATAACCAATCTGAGACCCGTTTCACAATTCTTTAAGCTTTCGCATCTGGGATTACCAAAGAGTTTACAGGAGTGGAAAACAAGAGTTGTGGCTAATTTTAACTATTTCCAATCAAACTATTTGGTTGTGTTGATCCTCGTTGCTTTGGTTCAACTTTTCCAGAACCTACTGCTGCTCGGTGCGATTATAGTCCTGGCAGTTGGGGTTTATGCATTGCAAAGATACGAGCTGGACGAGATTGTCGTTGCTGGCAACACCTTGCGGTTGAACAAGAATTATCTGTACGTTGCGCTATTCGGAACCACGGTGCCTGTTATTCTGTGGTGTTCGCCGTTTAGCACGTTGATAAACTTGGTGAGTGTTACTAGTGCCATAGTCGCCCTCCACGCGTCAGTCTTTGAGGCACAAGGCGAAACTGCATTCAGCGAGAGTCCGGTGTGAAAAGCGTCCTGCACAACACACACATCCACGTAAGCTTTATTGGTAGAATCATCGTTATATATATATATATTATCGCGTGTTGCACTGTAAAGAATGCCTAGCTGTAATCATATGGTGTCTGGATGTATAGATGTCCGGGTTAATGGGTGTACGGGTGTATCGTTGTCCGACTCCAAATTAAGAAAAACACACACAAAGTGACGTCATTTCACAATTTGTTTCCAACAACGAGGGGCCACCGCACAACGCAAATGTTGAACAAGGCTGCTGGCAAATTGTGTCATCTCTCAGGCGGAACGATGAGGAAATGAGTCACCGGGAATGTTTCCCTTTTCCCTTTGCCACAAGACAGGTTCGTTTGGGCTGAAACACACAATTTGTCGCGGTGTTGTTGTTGTTGTTCTTCCTGTTTCTTTTTCTTTCTACAGGCGAAAACACACACACACAGGCTGAAAAGGGAAAACGGGCTAATTCCCCTAATTAATTTCGCATCCCTTCAACACCAACAAAACTACCACTCCCCTGAGCCTGAAGTCCTAAAGAATCGCTGAACTGAACACAAGAGAGAACAACTGTGCAATCCAGAAGGTCAACTTAACCGTTTCAAAAGACACTGTCTGCTTGTGTTTCTGCTTCCGTCTTCAATTGGGCTTTTGCTGTTGATATCGTCCCATCCCCCCCTCCATCATCACACGCCCCTAATTCCGTGTGTGTGTTTTTACCCCGGAGATCTTTCGAAATTGAGCTCAACAAACACGTTATACGAATCCCCTGACTCAACATCACCGTTACATCACACGTTGTGACTTACACTTTGCTAGGAAGTTGAACTGTTCGCTTCCCACTTGCTTTCGGGACGCCATCGTGTTGCCGTTGGCCTTGCTTTGATTCTTGTGCTTCACACTCTGAGGTTTGTGTTTTGTGGTCTTAACTCCCACATTTGGTTGCAACGAGGCAGTCACACCAACACTGATATCACAATCCTCTGATACACACATTTAACGACTATCACGACCTATTCACTGACACCGTCTGATCATCAACATTTGCTTTTTTTTTGTCTGTTTCTGTTGTTCCTCAAGACTTATTTGTCATTTCATTTACATATTGAACTTGCTCCCCCTGTTTACTCCCCATTTTGACAGCACGATCTCGAAGAGACATTTCACCACCCAGACATAAACACCACAAGGGACAGTTCACCACCAGGGACAGTTCACCACTGATACAACGTTCAACACTGTTTTCACCTCTGTTGTCCTTCATCATCAACCATTGCATGTTTTTCTTACACTGAAGAGCTAAAGAAAAACTCCCACATCCAGCTAAACGAAAAAGAGAAAAAAAATTTAAAGACAAGGTAAACAAACAACAGCACATCTCCACCATTACTACTGCAACTACACGCTAGATCTTATACTGAAATCATCTGACATCATCTCTGACGGTTTCGACCCGCTATACATAGAGAACTAGCTCCTCCACTATGTCCTTGGAGTACGAGATTTACAAGGAAGGTGGTCTCTTGAACGGGAAATACCAGAAATTGGAGGACATAAGTGAAGGGTCCTATGGTGTTGTATCCTTAGCAAAGGATATCACAAAGGCCAGGCTAGTTGCCGTGAAGTATATCTTCAAGTACCAGGATGAAAAATCGCCCAAGAAAGAGTCTAGATACTCCCAGTCGTTGAAGAACTTCACAGAGAGAATGGACGATGACATTTGCGAGGAGGCACTCCACGAAATTGACATCCACCACAGATTGGGCCACCATGAGAACATTGTTTCATTCATCGACTGCTTTGAATCCTTTATCATCTTGGAATACTGCTCCCGTGGCGACTTGTACGAAGCTATAAAGGCCAACATCGGTCCAACTTCAACAAGGGACATTGTCAATGTTACTCTGCAGCTCATTAGTGCAGTAGAATTCGCACACAGCAAGTCGATTTATCACCGTGATATCAAACCGGAGAACATCTTGATCGCTGATGACTTCTCGATAAGACTATCGGATTGGGGTTTGGCTACTGACAAGAGAATTTGTACTGATTTTGGAGTTGGTTCTGAGAGATATATGGCACCAGAGTTATTTGATGAGTTGAATCTGGATTATTACGACGCTGCTAAATGCGATATCTGGTCTATCGGCATTTGTCTCTTGAACATTGTCTTCCACAAGAACCCATTTACAAAGGCGAACGAGTCGGATAAATCTTTCAGCTATTTCGCACGTAACCGTGAGGCTCTGTTTGACATCTTTTCAACAATGTCCGACGACTTATTCTCTGTCTTGCGTCATTGTTTGACTTTAGATCCGGATAATAGAGATTTGTCACTTGTAAAGGAAGAACTATTGAAGGTGCAAAAGTTGACCATTGACGAAGACCTGGATCAATTTGAAAAGGAGATGAGCAAGTCTGTTAGTGCCAAACCAATCGCCATTAGAAAGACCAAGGCTCCACGCTCAAAGAACATTCAGAATGGCAACGCAAAGTCATTTGCAATCCCGACACCAAATACACATATTGCAAAGCAGTTCCAGGATTTCAAGAGAGAACAGTTCAACAGAAGAGATTTCTTTACTCCACCATCTGTTAATGCACATTATTTGGAGAAATTTGGGGACAATAGAAGATATCAACCTCCACACCAAAGACCCAATACACCAAAGTTGAACAATCAAATTCCTCGCAGTGTTTCACCATCCAAGAAATCAAGAAAGAGCTCATTCAACTCGTACTCTTCTTCTGCTAGTAAGTACGTTCCTCCAAGTCTCAGATCACCAAATGTTGCAAAGTCTCCGTTGCAGCAAGCCGTTTCCTTGAGTGACTTGGATTCCGACGATGATGGGTTGTTTGTTCTTGAAGAACACGATACTCCAAACCGTTCAGACGTTGACTTGGCAAATTTGGGTGAAGGAATCAACTTGTTGGGTCTTGATGAAAGAGATGTTGCTAGTGATTTCTCTTCAGCACCCTCTTTGATCAGTCCGGTGCCCCTATATGAACAGCGTGCTCATGCCTTTTCTGAAAATGACAGAAGACCAAATTCAAATGATCGTGAAGGGCATGGTTCTAACTCTGATGGGACAGGAACTCATCCGAAGAAGTACGTGCCACCACATCATAGAGAAAACTATCAAGGTCAAATCCAAGCTTGGCATTCAACGTCAAAGAAACCTGCTTATTGGAATCAATATAACGGGCGTGGCCGGAGACATAGTGGAAGACGTGAAGCAATGACCTCTACCTCTGTTCCGATAAAGAAAACTGATTGGTTCGCTCATAGTAAGATTGATGGCATTGAAGATGACGTTTTAGAAGATGAAGAGGATGACTTTGAGAAGTCAGATTTTTACAAAAACTTTGCTTCTCGTGTTGGGCGTACATCAGGAGCCAATTTCAGCCTTGTTGGAAATGATAGTAAGAACAGAATGTTGCCACACACTATGAACGGTCTTAACTCTGTTATCTTAGAACACTCGTGAGTTTTGGTCTTTTATCAACTTCCATTTGTTTTTTTTTTTTGCTTTTTGATTTTCTTTTAACGATTCGAATTATAAGGTATTGTGAATAGGTTGGTCTATGTTATGGAAGACTAGCATTCTCAATATTATGAAATCAATCAATTTTGCATTCGAAGCAATTTTGGTTGAAACCATACGTCTATTAATCAACTAAAGTGTAGTGTGTAACGTCATATTGTGGTTGTGGGTATGAAGATCGTATGTAATGTTTATCCCTTGAAGTTCACAGTTAGCCATAACAGTGCACCCCCAAGCAATATTGTTAAGGCAATCACCTGTCTGAACGTGTTTGATGTCTTGTCTTCTGTGAGGTGAATAGTATTAGATTTGAAAGAGTTTATTTGAGATTGATTCATCTTGAATATCTGTTTCTTGTACTCTTCATCTTCATGTAGCTCCTCTCGAGGTTTACCATGGTTCAAAAGGAATAAGATATCATCTTCGGTTGGTTGTGCAACAACGTTCTGAACGTTTCCAAAGAAGTCTGTGATCAGCACATCGCTCAGATTTCTCTTAAACAAGTCTGTTCTAACACCTGCGTGTGAATGAATATCCTCGAGTGTGTACGAATCGATCAAGTCTTGAATTGTCTTTGTAGAGTTCTTTTCGATAGTCTCTAAGAACTCAAGGTTGTAATACGTGAATCTGTCAATAACGGCCACCCCAATATCGACATCACTGTGATGTGAGTACGACGATTCATCCAGCTCAGAGGACCCCACAGCCAAAATATTCGGAGAGTAAAACTTTGAGTACATTGTATTAGCCTGGCACGTATCAATCATGAAGAAAATCTCGTTATATCTCTTCTTCTCGTGCATCTGTTCAAAGGCATCCGCAATGTCCCATGAACTAATCTCCTCTGCGTCTTGGAACTTCAAAAACTCGTTACCACCATGGCCTGTCATGTAGATGAAGATGTTCGAGTTCTCATCAGTCAATAGTCTCTTGGACCTTGGATGGTCTGGTCCCCATCTATCTGTTAACAATCTTATAAAGTTCTCCACCGTAACTTCGTACCCTCGGTAGTCAACTTCGATGCTATCACCGTATAAGTCTAGTCCTCTATCGGCATTGTTGAATACTGAGCCTGGGAATAAGTTTCTTGGGTTACATGCAACGTCATCGCTAAGCATAAGGATGATCTGTGAGTCTGGAATACCCAATCTCTTAACAGTTCTGTACATGCTGAGAACATTGGCCATATGTCTATAGTTGAACCAAAAACGTGATGTGGACACAAGAACTGCCCAATTGTTTGTATGGCGTGACTCTGTCGATTCTCCACTGTCTTGTGAGTGTACAAGACCAGCAACTGTCAATAAGATAACAGGTATACACCTGAGGAGCTTTGGTAATCTCATTTGTATTGTGGTTCTAAGTTGGTGATTGTAGGAGTTGCGGTGTAAAATGAGAGGAAAGTCGTTGATATGTCTTTGGGCTTTTTGTGTTTACTTGTTGATGTGGAAGATAAACACCCGGACATTCAAACATCCATACACCCCACATCTGTGGAAGTCGAGGCGCATTGTGTTTACTTTGTAAGCCATAACACCACGGATAGCAAGTCATTATGGTCTTTTCGCTCCAATGAAGACGGTATATGTCGATGTTAATGGTGTTTAGGTCTCAAGTAGGAAGGAAGTTCTTGTTTAACAGAACTTCCAGCTCTGTGGCTTGCTCCATAAAGCGTGTTTCAACGTCGTTGCCTATACCAACCTCATCGCAGAGAACCTCACTTCACAACTCGTCCAAAAGTCAACACTCGGGCCAGATACATCTCAGAGATTATCAGCAGGAATGTATAGATCGGTGTTTAGCGAGCTTGGAATCTGGAAAGAGGAAAATTGCCGTTAGTCTGCCCACTGGCGGTGGTAAGACTGTTATCTTCGCATCGTTGATCAACAAGATAAGACAAATGAACGACGATGTTGGTAAGACACTGGTGCTCGTGCACAGGAAGGAACTCGCAATCCAGGCAGCACAGACTTGTAAGAACCTGTGCCCAGGTAAGAGAGTTGAAGTGGAAATGGCTGAGTATAAGGCTACCGAATATGCTGATATAGTGATTGCCTCTGTGCAAACCTTGGTCAGGGGAAGAATACAAAACTGGGATCCTCATCAATTCAAGACGATTATTGTCGATGAAGCTCACCACTCAGCAGCTGATAGCTACAAAGCTGTATTTGACCATTTCGAAGTTGATAACCCAAATTCTGACATTGCACTAGTTGGATTCTCTGCGACTATGAGAAGAGAGGATAACAAAGCGCTGGGTGAGGTTTTTGAAGAAATTGTGTACCATATGGATCTGTTAGACTTGATAAAAAAAGATCACTTGACAGATGTCAAACTCACAACCATTCGACTTGCTGATGCTGATTTGAAAGATGTTGCTATTGCACGTGGTGACTTTGTGCTGGGTGGTCTCTCTAAGGTCATTAATAAGCCCAGTAACATCGACGTTGTCATTGGAACATATCTCCAATTTGAGAAGGACTATAACGTGTCCTCTACTTTGGTATTTGCAGTTGACATTGGGCACGTTGAATCTCTATACCGAGGGTTTGAAGAAGCTGGTGTCTCTGTACGTGCAGTCACATCAAAAACCAAGTTAAGGGACCGCCAAATGTACGTCGAGGACTTCAAAGAGGGTAAAGTGTCTGTGTTGGTCAACTGTGGTGTCTTCACAGAGGGGACTGATATACCAAATATTGATTGTATACTGCTTGTGCGACCAACAAAATCCAGAAACTTACTCATTCAAATGATTGGTCGTGGTGTGCGTAAGCATCATTCCAAGGACTTTTGCCATGTTGTCGATTTTGTTGGGGTTGGCTCCAAGGATCTTGTTAGTCTACCAACTCTCGGTGGACTGCCTAGTGACTTTGGACTTGAAGGTATGTCATTTGCAGATATGGAAAGGGTCAAAAGACAGCAAGACCACTTTGAACAGAAAAGAAAAGTGAATGAATCTGAAAGACGTCAAGGTGAACTGGTTACGAATTTCACAAACGAAGAGCTGGATGCCATTTCTGGTCTCCAATTTACAACTTTTGAAAGCCTATCAAATTTCCTATCCACAAGCAATAATCTTTCTGACGATGAAATTGTTCGATCGTTCGATGAACCGTGGTGTCATTCGCCTTCCAAGGGACTATGGTTTTTGGTGTTCCCTGAGATCAAACCTCAGATACATCTCAGATTGCAGGCACATACATCTGGCAACTTCCCAGTAGATTTCTACAAAGGGTTGAAAACTAATGGATTCGACGATACTTTTAACAAACTGCATTCGGATGTCAGGCCAGGAACTGTGTATACCCTTGAGCTGTACCAGGAAAATGCAAAGTTTTTGAAGAAAAACCCAAGGAACTTCTACGTTACGAGATTTAACAGACAGTTAAGTGCGCCGATATCTAGTGATATAAGGGTCCCACTAATGAAGGGCTCACTCTTAGCGTCAGCCATGTTGGGTGAGCACACAAGGCCATCAAAGAGGAAGGGCTGGAGATCAGAACAACCAACAAAACGCCAAGTCGCTGCATTGGCATCCTTACTCATGTCCAAGTGCTTTAAGGACCAAACCATCAGGGAACAGATCGAAAATATCTTGCAAAAGAACTACACTAGAGGTGATCTCAGCGATTTCATGGGCTCATATGCAATCTTCAAGATGAGTGGCTTGAAAGCCATAGCATCAGAAGTGGAGTCCAAATTGCATTTCACTTAGCTACGCTCCTGAGTGCTGTGCTACCGTTCACTCCAATTGACTCACACACACCATCACTTTGTATAAATCATATCGTATACTTCCATATTCTACTGCAAACTGCACCGTATGCCCTCTATGGCACCAAGGACATCCAAACACCTAATAATCCGTACACCACAAACTGCTGTAGAATGTGGCCGCACCACGGAGATCAGGATCTTCGCGCGTAGCTCTCCACTGAGCGCCAACGTTGACTTGGAAGGGGACAAATATACAACAAACCACACAAACAAACAAAACAAACAACCCACACAAAGCACTAACTGCACCGAAATAACGGGACTGACTGTGACATTTATCGGTGCATCTCCTATTTCCACGACTTGGTAATTGACACAATTGGTTGATCTTGTGTGTGGTGGTGGTTTGTTCTGTTGCTTTGGTGAAGATCTTTGTGTTTATTATTGTTTAGCCCAGTGTACAGCTCTGGAAGTCGACACGAATCTCTAGAACGGGAACGAAAACAAAGCAATAACACGGTCCTCCCTGTGCCTTCTCCTGCCATGACATCTTCGAAATCTCAGAGGAGAGCCATTGCCATGGATCCCATAACTGTTGTTGTGAAGGAGAGTATCCTTCTATCGTCGTCCATGAGGAAGGTCTCCAAGTACTCGTCGTCCAGTGTTGCTGCCATTCTCAGCTCAAGTACCGCCGATTTGTTTAGTGACGAGAACAACTTGGGCAAGGCGGGTATTTCTGGTGGCTCTAATGGTGTTCCTAACGGCACCATCACTGATCCACTCCTCTCTGGGTTTGTCCAACTACGTCTGATGTTGAACTCTCAGAAGGATGTTTCCGGCGTTGACGCTCTCACTTTATTACAACCGTTTCTCATGGTGATCAAATCAAGCTCCACGTCTGGAAGCATCACATCTTTGGCATTGGACTCTCTGATGAAGTTCTTCAACTATGGCATCATCAATGAAAGCTCAAGTAACATCGATTTTGCCTTAAACCATGTCATGCATTCCTTGACTCATTGTCGTTTCGAGGCTTCTGAGCAAGCCGCAGACGATTCCGTCTTGTTGAAAGTCCTCAAGCTGCTAGAATACATAATAGATTCTGACTTGGGGGAAAGGCTATCGGATGAAGTGGTGTATGAGGTTCTGCAAACCTCAATGTCGTTGGCTTGTAATAAGAGAAGAAGCGAAGTCTTGCGGAAAGCTGCAGAATTGTCAGTTGGTCGTTTGGCTTTCAAAATATTCAAGAAATTGGACTCGATGGAACCGGAAAATAATGCGCATGCCGTTGAAGAAACACATGATTACTCTAAGGATCAACTCATTGATTCAATTGGTACCAATGAAGAACTCGAACAACAGAAGAGATCATTGGAGTTGCCAAAAAAGACTGAACAACCCTTTGGCCTTCCAGCCATAAAGCAATTCTTGGGTATCTTGATCTCGATCATCTCGCCAGAGAATCAGCTCAAGCATAATGAATCGACAAAGGTATTTGGATTTTCGCTGATTCGTATGGCAGTTGAGATGAGTGGTAACAGATTTAAAGAATTCCCAAGTTTGTTAAATCTTATTGCTGATCCTATCTTCAAATATACACTGCAGGTTATCCAGAACGTGAACTCCATCTCGGTTCTTCAAGCTGCTCTACAATTGTTCACTACATTGACTTTGACATTAGGTGATTCTTTACAGCCTCAAATAGAACTATCTTTGAGGACTATGTTCACATTGATCATTCCACAGGACGTGTCGAAGAGCAAAACCTCCAGCAAATCTGGGAAGTCAACGCCAATCGATGTGTCAATAAAATCACTCAGTGCCAAAGAGGTTATTGTGGAAGAGCTGTCGATCCTTTGGACTCATTTGCCTAACTTGTTTTTAGCTCTGTTTGTCAACTATGACTGTAACTTCCACAGGCACGACTTATCGGTGCAATTCATCGAATTTTTGGCACAATTATCGCTTCCTGAAAGTGCATCTTTTACCACAGAATTCGTTCCTCCACTTTGTTTGGAAGGTTTGGTGACTTTTGTGGGGACAATCTACGATCATATTAAAACAGCTGGTACGTTTAATGAATCAAGTTTGGATGGTTTGCTAGTTGACAAAGAAAAGAAGAAAGAGTTTATATCAGCTACAAACATCTTTAACGATTCCCCAAAACAAGGACTCAAACGTTTACAGGAAAAAGGATTCATCAAATCCACTGAAGATACTGATGAGCTTGCTGCATTCTTCTACGAAAGATCAAGTCGTCTCAACAAGAAGGTTTTAGGTGAATTCCTTGCAAAACCTGCCAATAGTGAACTCTTGGTGCGTTTCATGAGTCTGTTTGAATTCGATGGTCTTCGTGTTGATGAAGCTTTAAGGATTCTTTTGAAGGCATTTAGATTGCCAGGTGAATCACAACAAATTGAAAGAATTGTTGAGACATTTGCAGCCCATTATATCTCTTGTCAGTGCTACTCGGAAGATGAAGATGATCAGGAACAGGACACCCCTTCAACTGAAGAAACTGATGGTGAAAACCCTGTCAACGAGGAAGAAGAGGAGGATGAGAATGCGACGGTTAAACCTGATGCTGATGCCGTATTCGTTTTATCATACTCTATCATCATGTTGAATACCGATCTGCATAATCCAAACATCAAAGTCCATATGACCCTCGATGATTATAAGAAGAATTTGAAGGGTGTCTACAACAACAAAGATTTCCCTTCATGGTATCTTAAGAAGATTTTTGAATCTATTCAGGATAAAGAAATTGTTATGCCAGAAGAGCACCATGGTTCATCCCAGTGGTTTGACGATAACTGGAATAATCTTATGGCTGCCAATGCTTCTACCATCAGTACATTCTACTCACCTGAGTCGTATGATTTACAATCCACCTTACAGTTTGAAAAGTACATCTTCAGCTCAGTTTTCTCGAAGCTTTTTGGAACGTTTCTCAGGATTTTTGAAATCGCAGTTGATGATCATGTCATAACAAAAATGGTGACTATGTTGGATAGATTGGGACAGATTGCATCATTTTTTGGTTACTATGATCTTGTTGAGGGAATCGTGAGCAGATTATCTCAATTGACACAGCTCACTAGTGCCGTTGAAACTGACCAATCTGATAATACTCACCATCTAAAGCTAACTCGAATTCAAGTATCCGGAGGTGAAACGATTAACGTGAGTGAGCTTGCTGTTGCTTTCGGAGGAAACTTTAAGGCTCAGCTTGCAACAATTATACTCTTCAACACCTTGAAGAACAATGTCAGTAATATCACCGAGAATTGGTCGACAGTAATTAAGATATTTGTGACTTTGATACAAAACGGATTGGTACACCCTGATTTCTTTTCCCCATTCCAAGCCGAATTCAAGCTTCGTAAGATATCAAGAGTCAAGCCAGAAGTCACTCTGACCAGAAATTCTGTGACAAAAGGACTACTTTCAACATTCGCATCATATCTTAAAGGTGACGATGAACCTACTGATGAAGAAGTTGAAGCTACTTTATCAGCATTGGACTGTATTAAGTCAGCAGATGTGGGGTCTATATTTAATGATCTCAAACTTTTGGTGCCACACTATGATTTTATTTACAGTGCACTTTTTGAGCAACTTCCTGAAGAACGCACCCCTCAGAATGAGCCTTACTTTGAGACTTTGATGCTCTTCATCGTTGAAGCATGTGTTGCATTGACTACAAATGACACCAACTGTCAAGAGTCGGACGATTTGTTGGCGCGTATTGAGAAACTCATTGAGAGAAGGGAAGAATTGAAGTTGCAGCCTGATATGATGTTTAGGTTAGATACTTACAAACTATTGGTTATCACCCACTTAAAGAGTGGTCGTGATGCTGTTGTCACCAAGACAGTTGAGGAATTCTTAGGATTTGAAAAGAAAATCTTTGAGAAGAGGGCACCACAGGTCATAAAGCCCTTGACAAAACTTGCGTTGGACGATTTCTGGGCAGCATCTTTGGTGTTGAACGACGAAAACTATTGGAAGTTATTGAGAATAATTGCATCCATTTCTGACTACTCTGATAAGCTTCTCAAGTTTGCTGAAGATATCTCATACTCGAAAAACATCAACAACACAAACTTTATGTGGTTACTGGGATTACTTGATGAAATATCTGCTGTTGGGGCTATTGGTGCTCAATGGGAACAGGAGTACGATTCTCTTGTTAAATCAGGTCATAAAATTACAAAAGAAAACCCGTACCAGGATATCGTTCATACATCTCTTTTGTCTATCAAATTCACCAGTTCGCTATTGAAGTTGAAGATACTCTCAAAGGATGAAACATACGCGCTTATTCAAGCATTGGCACATCAATGCCTCAACCCATGTGACCAAATCCGCTCCTATGCACTTAGTACACTTGAAGAGTCTATCTTTGAAATCAGACTAGACAATGATATCACTCCAGGTGGTTTGTTCAAGTTCGGACTTTTCCCTCTTCTCGGTGATGGTATTGACAAGCTCAGCATCTTCCAATTGGCATCCAAGTTGTATTTACACTACTTTAAGAGGGGACAAGTTGATAATGATTTGTTTTTGAAACTGCTTGATAATTTCAATAACCATTTAGAACACCCTGAGGTTGAAAGGGAGTTACAAAACTTGATTTCTCAGAAGAAGCTCATTGAATCTGATACCAATGGCAATGACAGCGGGACTGGTCTCTCCGTCGAAGATGACGCGCCAGTTATTCCTACCAAGAAAGAAGTTGAAGCTGAAGAACTTGAAGCAAGTATTGATTAATGTCAAGTACCTACGTATGGTTGGTTGATTTTGTTGTTCTGATCCGGAATATATGGAACTTTCGTATAATATGTTGTAATTGGCTATTTGAGTATAGAATTAATCAATAGTTATAGACTTGACGTGGCCTATTCATTATCTTGCATTATTTCTAACAGTGTTGACGCATTCTTCAAGCCAGCATCGGCTATTGTATCGTCCAACTTGTTGATGAGATTCTCCCTTTGACTTGTTAATGAGAAGAAGCCGTCTCCAATCTTGTCCTTGAACTCATACTTCACAACTTGGTATAACTTCAGCACTTTGTCATCGATGTTGAATCTCTTAACTATTCTAGAACCATCGCCTGTTCTTATCTGAATTCTTGTGGTTTCTGGTGATTGAGGAGGTTCCTCATAGTTCAGTGGTTCAATCTGCTTCACTTTCTCTTCCTCTGTAAGTTCTTTAGCTTCTGAAGCAGGCTTCGTAATTATACTTTCAGTCTCACCTTCTTGTTCATCGTCGATCACCAACGGGTTATCTTCATCCCCACCACTCAACATCTCCAGGTCGCTATCGTCCTCATCGCTTGATGCTGAGTCTCCCAACGATTGTTTGATAGCGTACTCCATCTGCTTTTCCTCGGATAGAGTATTTGGATCTATATGCTGCTTGTGTTGGACTATTGGGTTCACCGAGTTTGGATCCAATGAGAAGTCGTTCAGGAAATTGTAAACTTCATCACACCATTTTTGAACTTTTGGTACGCCAGACCACATCTTCATCCGTTCACCTGTAATTGGATCCAATATGGCAATGTGTGGGTACTCCTTGAATGGATAAAAATTGATGTATTGCTCACCGCTTCTTGAATCACTGTGGTATTGTAGGAATACAAAATGTTCCCTGACAAGCTCTTTGACAGTGGTGCTCTTCCAGAAATCTCTATTCAAAGTCTGGCACAGGAAATCCGAAGGGTCTTGAATATTTATCAGAATCCACTTAGACTCTTGTCTGGCTTTCCTCTTTGCAGAATCCAAATCCAACTTCTCCATGATATCAAAAGGTGGTCTAAACAGCTTAGCCAGCCTCTTTTGGCCCTCAGTCATCCCACTGAACTCTTCATCTGAATCAGCATCTGAGCCATCTGAGTCATCATTTCCATAGCCACTGTCTCTTTGGTTGAATATACCTCTGCGTTGGTTCCCATAGATCAGTTGGTCTGGGTTATTCAACAGTGGGTTGAAACTCCCTCCAACACCGCCAAATGTACCGGGGAAGATGTTCAAATCATCAACCAGCCTCTCATGCCTAGCTTCATCAGGTGCTCTGGTATTGTCCTGATAGGCCTCATTCTGTAGTCTCTGTGCAAGAGCCTCGTCATCTTCACCAGAGCCAACGTTGCTCAAGTCATTATTCGTAGAGTTGCCGCCACCTGATGGCCCGTGTTCGTAGTATAGCGACACAGCAGTATCCATATTGTTCTGGGCCATCTCCAGGAAGTTTTGGGCCATTGAAGGGTCTTCACACCCGGTAACAGCCATAAATAAATCCACCTCCTCGCTCATATCTCTGTCCTGGTATCGTAATCTCGCTGATGTCCCTCTATATGTATGCAAAAGAAGAATACGAGTCGGTGTGTATAAAGATCAATGGTGAATGTATGCTGTTTTGAGGGGCCCAACTCACCAAAGGCGATGCGTTGCCATCACAGGATTGGGATGTCCGGATGTTTTAGATATTACGTAAGATTTTGTGGTGTGGCCCTAATAGTGGATGGCTCAATGTTTAGTAACCATAGCAACGTGAAACATATACTGGAGGCTGATGTTGTTGATGTTTATCTCAATTCAACCCTTTTATGGTCTAAAAGGCTGCTAAGTGTTGTGTCCAAGGTTCGTTTGGTGTGGTATTTGTGATCTTAGGGCTTTGTTTTCGTCTTTATTGGCAGATTTTGTATTTTACAGCTACGTTAGAGTGTCCTATATTGGTAATTGTAGGGTCCCAAGCTATAAGTGTCAATTTCGACTTACGCAGTCCATTACATGTGTAGTGAGCATTCAGACTCGATAGTGGTGCTCGAAGCTTGTGGATGTGAGTGGATGTAGAGTGAGCACGTTGGCTATTAAGATATTGAATTGAGAGTGGGATATACATGTGGGCCAGTAATAGAGTACTCCGCAGAAATTCCCCGGGATGTAGAACACCGTAAGTAACTGTTATTGGTTAAACAGTCGTATGAGGTGGATAATGGATGGTGTACAGCTATAAATGAATACTTATCCTAACTGCAATAACAATGTCATCCAGTTACCACCTTTTGTTATACTTCCAAGTAAATCATAACATAATATACAGTTTCAAGTTCTGTAACTGGACATCCAATACAACGACTTGGTCTCTCAAGCGATAATTAGATCCACCACTTAGCAATTGGAAGGGAATTTGACGATCAATCCGAAGGGCTAGAGATTACTCTCATGAACAATGAGATAACGATTAGATGCCAAAGAATTGCTTGAATAGATATACTACCCTGTCTCTTGTGGTGGTTATAACCTAACAGGTTGACTTGGAAACAGTATGACCTAAATCTTTTGGTGGATCTCTGAAGTTTCCAATTTATTGCTGTTGAAGTGAATTGCATACTTTACAGGTTGCTGTGTCAATAAAATATGGACTGTATGGAGCTCCATTTACTAGCGCATCTTTTCACGTTCATTTACGGCAAATATACTATGCATTATTCTGGTCTGTATGGTATAGAGGCGTGGTGTTCTATCCTCTGAAGCTATTCACGTCATGAATCCATCTCTGGCTACACTTTAGATTATCATTGGATACAGGGTGTATCTCGAAATTGTAAAAGTTGATACCTCTGGCCTATTCTATTGGTATGATATTTCATCAAGGCCAACCCCAACGACTCAGCTCAATAAAAACAGGAAGAAGCAACTCTCTGTCCTCATTAACTTCGCTTTTGTCTCTACTGCTTCAGCGAATAACATCATATTAACCAGTTTCATGATTGGTTAGCCATTTGCATCAGAGCTACTTATAACGAACTCACCAAGGATGACTACAACGTCTACTTGGTTGCGTCTGCTGAACAAATATCTGGGTGTGATGGTACTTTCAGATATTCATACACAGATACTCTCTTTCACAATGACTAATTTCACTACAAGAGAGTTGGTGGTCCAGCTTGAGAACATGATGAGTTTGATGATCACATTTGGTACTTCAACACTACCCTGCTTCTTATGTTGCGTTTGCCTCTGACTATTTGTGAACAACAAACTTTTCAAATACTAACATTGGTATTCTTGTCACCGTTCCAAATAAAGGCACTAGCACAAATGTCTTGTCCACGCACGCTGACACCATTGGTGCCACTTATAACTATGTTTATAGAGGCGATCCAATGGTTGTCTTCTCTGGTTCAAATACCAGCAACTCCTTCTACACTGTTTCCTTGAACGATGATCCAGTTGATCCACAGTTTATCCTCTCACGCATGACTGGACAAGACGTTGTGACTAGTAGCTCGGGCTATATCCAGACTAGTGGCTTATGCAGTTACGGCAATTTTTGTGCTCTTGGTGTCCAAACAGTGTACCATAGTGACACTTCACTACCATCAGAGAGCCCTGTTTGGGCCTGTGCGACAGCTTCTCTCCTGTATCGGTGTTCTCAGTTCATTACACTTTCTGCGACAACACAGAGTCGATCCAGGGCCTTACTTGATGGAATCTGCGCTGATCTCTCAACCTCTTCTTCTTCCTTCAGCGTTACGGATTCTCTCTATTTCGTATAGAATTTGTTGTATAGCCACTCGTCACCAAACACCCTCCTTCCCAAATACACTGCTAACATCATTCCCACTTTCTCTTCGTATAAACACAATACATAATCACCCACGCTTCAATCGACCAACTAACTGTCTCCGTAGTCGCAAGAGAGCCCACCCCATAAAAGACACAGACGCGGGACTCGGCGTATGGATGCATAAAACGTGGCCCTACCATGTGTGCTCAGATGTCCCGCGTCACTGCTGGGATATGCAGTCGGGAAAAAGACCCTCGAGTCCAACGCAGGTAAAAGTCCCCGGATGACGTTATAACCTAAAACCTCACGCCCGCCCACCTTTTCCGACGAAAAAAAGGACTAGCCGTCACATGTGCATGGGTCTCGCCTTTTAAAAGCAACAAAAACAATAAAGATACACCAGGACAAAGGAAGAAAACAAATAGAGAGTATCCATTCCAAACGATTGTAGACTAGCATATTCATGGTTCTATATACTGGGAGGACTCTCATTTTTCTTTGGCTGTAGTTGCGTACGATTTCTCAGAGTCTGGAGACTGTAGACTAGGATGTTGCTCGTGACGCATGTTGTAATCTGCTGATTGATTACCCACATCGTTGTTGTTATAGTACTGAGGTAGGACAGGCGGCATCTGTTGGTAGCCGAATGGAGGGGGCGGGCCCATGGGTATTGGCCCGTTCATGACGATCTGGTTCGGGTGAGGTGGCATAGG